TACTTACATTCTCATTAGAACTATTAAGCTTTTCTCAATGAACTTAGTTATTAAGCCTGTTTTTATTGATCACAGGGGCAACTACAATGACATTTTCTGAATTTAAAGTCCTTTTAAAATTAGTTCCAGTTTAAACAAGCAGAAGTTCTCATTTATGTAGGAGGCCAGGGTGGTAAGACAATGTCCTCCTAACCGAAGGAAGCTGGGGGAGAGGGATGTCCTGTGTGTGAGGAGAAGGACAGTACAGGATTGTGGCTTTTTCTGACTAAAATCGTCACTTTTACATTTCTCTTCTTATCCCTCTCTTGTGCCTACTTATACATTCTGCAAAGGTTTTTTTTTTGTTACTAACTATAATTAATTTTGTTACTAACTATAATTTGTTACTAACTATAATTACTGGCTGAATATAAAATCTAAATGCTTTCCAAAAGGTGCAACACACAATTACTGTTTTCACTCAGTAGATAACACGTTGATATTTGGACTATCTGGAAGCATTAGGGGGCATTTTGAGTTGTCATAATGACTAGAAGGTGCTATTGACATTTAGAAGCTAAGGGCTTTGCTATAACCCTCTACTAGGAAGAATTGCATCAACCAAAATGCCTATGCCAAGAAATCCTGGGAGACATTTTAAAGAACCATAGAAGATTTTAAGAATATTACCATTAAAACATAAAGCTAGAGATCTGGCTTCACAAAAACATAGAGAGTAAGGTCCAGTGGGGTTAGCTTCCCTTCGCGGGGAAGTGTGGAGCCAGGACTCCATCAGGCCTTCTGACTCTGTCTGGGGCTCTTTCTGCTCCACCAAGTTTGTTTTCACAAAGCCCTTGACACAGGTCTGTACGAGTTACCATGATGCCAGGGACTCTGCCTGGATGCCAAGGGCTGCACGTTCTATTCTAAGTGACTTTGGAACACACTTTGGGAATAGGACTGACTGGGATGAATGAGTTTTAACAAATGTCCAAATTCCATCAAGAAACTGCAAGCTGAGCCCACTGGGTTTTCTTTACATTACTGTTAACTTTACAGATGATCATTTCAACTAACAGCGGCTGCCCCGTATAACTCTACAATTGCCCACGTTAACATTAACCAGTGTTTAGACCCCTTGCAATCTGGACTTGTGTCTTCTGCCCTAATATTCCTTAGTACAATCTTGATAATAAATTGTTAATAGTATCCCTAATTAACATTTTGATGTATCATAGCCACATAGAAGATACCAAAGTCAATTCCTGAAACCTCAATTCCCAATGAGAGTGCAAGAATCCAGCACGTGTGCCTGGGCCTCAAAGCCACAATGGGACATTTGAGCTGGTTATGGGGCAGTTCTGGGACCTGGTTCCTTGCAATTTCTTGCATAGGAAGGACAGTGTTATTCCAGGCATCAGCATGACCCTTCTTCCTGCCCTTCTCACATAAAGTGAGAGGAGAAGCAACACAGGAAACCAGCTAATCTTGAGGTTACTAACCTGGCTCAAAAAAAGAGGAAGGAATGACTCGGGCTTCAGTAAGCATATGAGTTAGGAGAATTGTTCTCCAATGGCTGAATCTCTCCCCTCCCAAAATGCCTCCTGCTTTTGTATGCATTCGCCTCAAGAGTTTGAAAAGACATTGTGCTTTCTACCAGAACAGTGCCCCAACAACTGCCATTAAGATGGAAAACTTCATCCATATACCCATTAACATGCCAACACTAATTCATACAATCACATCAACCAGAAGTGCAATGCTACCCAGCTCCAAACACAGAACTGGTTATCTAGACATCAGATTGGTTATAAACTTTGATGCCTGTCTTGTGGTGAGCTTGTATTTAGTAGTGCCTTTCATCTCTGATTTAGAAATTTTACAGACCAAGAGATTCACCAAAGGAAACGTGTTTTTCCCTCAGGCAGTTGTATCAAAACAATGTATGTGTGCGTGTATGTGTGCATATATGTATGTGAGCTGTGTAACGGTACACATACCCTTAAAAATAAAACTAAGTTCTGTCATCACTCTTCTAACAAAAATCCATCTTTCACTTCCCCAAATCAATTCTATTTTGCTTTTTCTGTCTCAGTGAAATAGACTGGACATTTGCTAAGGACAGAAGAGCCAGTCATCAAAGACAAGCACGATGACTTCATAGCGTTCCAACCAGTAGGCTCTATTGTCTGTGCACAGTTTCAATGCCAAGGGCACTATTTTGCCAGCGCATAAGGATACCTTAACACAAGTGCTCCACCAGTAAGCAGGTAGCCGGGCCACCTTTTTGAATGTATTTGTCTTCTACAGTGTTCTCCACTATCTGCCTCCAAAAAAAGCTAAGTTCCCTCACTGCATTACTCACCAAAATAGGAAGCTTTCCGAAAGTCACCCATGCAAGCACATACCACTTCTTAGAAGAACCCTCTAGTTGTGTATAATTTAATAAAACTGACCATGTAGGATAATGCTGTTTATTAAAAATATAGTCAGGGAGAAGGAAGTCAGTGCATTTATGCAATTTTACATACACATCTGTAGTTTGAGGTTCCATTATTCCAACAGTTCATATAAATCACTGTTTCAGATAAAAGGAAAAAAATGCTTTACACAGGAGATCAGCAATTGGTTATAGGTTTGGAAATATGAGTCGGCTTGTAGTAAAAATAAAACCACCTCTTCCATTATTAAAGAATGTCTCCTTTATGCGGAACAAGTCTTTAGCGTTAAGAACTTTTCCTTGCATAAGAATTGTTAACTTGAAGTTCTCGGAAAACAGCTAATCCTGTTTTCTCTATTTATAAATGCTATTTTGTCTGGGTTTTTTTGAGGTCACAAAGGAAGCGTCTTCAGTGATCTGTCACTACGTTTTCCTTTACCGTGTATGTCAACAACCGCAATGTCAAACCTAGGACTCATACAAAAGCATTTCGCAGAGAATCATAAATACAGAACACGACATGTCCGAACAATGTTCTCATTACAGCAGGGAAAACAAAATGGATCAAAAAACAAAGCCTAAAATAAATGAAGGCTTGATCATTTTGCTAGTAGAGAAATGAACAATAGCATCCAGAACCCTCCAAAAAGGATTTGGCATATGAATGCACTTGTATGAAAAACTTCATCACATTTTTTTTTGGAATAGACTCCACTCCCATTTCCTGAGCTCACGCTCACTGACGGGAGTCCAGAGTACAGCCGCAGCACCTGCTAAGCCAGAAGGAAGACAGCAAACTTACAACTTACTCGCGACAGTCCTCAGTGTGGAAAATCAAGAGTTTTGGATCTAATTTCTTGGATACCGAAGTTGGTGCTCTGTCCCTTGGCCTTCTGTGTTAGGATGTATAGGATGCCCTAGGGAAGTCACTCCGCAATAGGGAGTGGTCACATTCATTTGAAAGCACCACTCCTTTCCATGTTATGTACCTAACTCAAACCCAGTAAAGAGGGACTCCAAGCATAATTACTTTCTTTATATCCTGCTAGTGAAAGTAAGTTCTGTCACTACAAATGCAGGGAACCAGAGACAAGCATGAGAAGAGAAAAATCTGCATTTCTTATAATGAGTGGCTGTGTGAAAGGTTTCTGCTGGGTTTGGCTAAGGCATCTAAAACTCCATGTCCACTCCCAATTAGTCTACCTAGAACTTACAGTTCAGTCTTCTGGGGGCATAGGAAGAGGGGATTACATTTAGCTACCTCTTCCTTCTTAAAGTAGAATAGTTAAAAATAAGTTCTCGTGTATAAAGCAGATCAAATCAGTAACTGTCTAAATGACAACGCAAATTCGGTGTTAGCTATGACTAACATCTGACTGACTCCATCTCGGCAAGAACTAAAGGACAACAAAATCTCAGCTGCTATCCAACTAAGTGTTTAAAGTATACTAAGAAATTAGTGTTTGTTGATAGGATTACCAAGCAAATAAATTTAAGGCATAACTGGAGTTACAGCAAATGAAGTATATACTTTTTCCCTCTGATGCAATAAGGCCTCTGCCAAGAGAGATTGCTTTAAGAGTTTTCTTGCCCCAAATTAGCCAAAGGTCCCGTGTATTGGTGGAGGAGGAATAAGCTAAAGGCTGAGGCTTTTAAACAGATAACTACAGACTCTGAAACACTCAAGACTTTAGAGTTTGAGTCAAAATCATCATATATACTTATTAGAAGCTGGAATCGATGAGGCCAAATTTGCCAGGGCTACAACATGGATAAAACGTCAAGTACAGATGAAACATTATTTTGTTTACACATGTCTAAATTTTAACAGAACCCTTAAAAAATCAGGAACAAAATGCTATGTTCACACAAAAATCCTTGTGCTTAGTTTGCAGGAAAGTATCAGAACAGCTGAAAACAAATGGTTTCAGTCTTTAACTTCACGTGATGAAGCTGCTCAGCAACTGTGCTGTTAGTGGTGAAACTGCAGGAACAATTCCGTTCTTGGATTTCAGGGAAAAGCCATTCACTCGTCAGTCTCTGCAGAGACAGGCAGAGACTCCTCTGCCCCCAACTCCTCTGACAGTTCCCTTCCACTTAATGGGGTCACTACCCAAGTGAACTCTCAGGAGGGGACGTTTCCATATAAGGCCATATAAGTGTAAATTGACACAGCAATCTATGTCTAACAAGCCACTGAGTTTCTTTTGGGTGTTGGGATAGGGAAAAGGGCCTATGTCAATGAAATAAGACTTACAGAACAGTCAAAGAAAATTGATTTCTCAAAGTTCAATAAAAAAACCCCCAAAAAACAAAAAAACTAGCTCATCTCTTATTTTCAAGGAGATGAATTATGGAAAATTCCTTCAAATTTATGCCACAGGCTTAATTTTGGACCTTAGGAAGGAATCTCCTCCCATTTTCTCTTCACATTTTAGGTTCTTCAAGTTGTTATTATAAATTGTTTGAATAGCAAAATCAGCCATGACGCGAATCATGGAGACACGCTGATTTCCTTGCATTGAAATACATCTATACAATTGAAAGTTATGCGTACAGCACAAAACTATAAACAAAAAGGTGAAGCAAACTTTCTTTATTTTCAGGTAAAAACATTAACCTGATGGATTATTGCAGATTTGAGAAATCAGCACATAAAACGACTGGACAGCATTGCTTACAGGTGCTTTTATCTGCGTCGAGACAAAGGCTGAACTGTTTTGTCCCAAGTCAGCACTGGGAGAAGGGGAAGAGGAGCGTGGAATAAAGAAGACTATGAACAAAAACGTAAAACAAAAACAAAGGGAAAATTTTTTTTTTTTTTTTTACTCCAACAGGGAAGGAAAACTGCTCAGTCTGTTTAAAAATTTTACATTAATTTAAAATGCTCTGGCCACAGAATAATAAATACTGGCCAGCCCAAGCTGTAGACTTCTTCACCTTCATAAAAGAAACAAATGAGCTCTCCCTGTCTCACTCCAGAGGCTGTTGCTGCTGGAATTGCCATGGAAATAGTCCTAGTGTGTCACCTGGCAAAAAGCCAGTAATACCCTAAACTATATTCAAACTAAACTATAAGAAAAGTCTACCTAGTTACAAAAGCTGAATTATATTCAATATATTTCCATCCAACGAATTTTAAATTAGATCTGGACAGAACATGGGACAATGAACCCATGGGTCACGAGCCCATGGGTAATGAAAATTGGAGAACTGTGAGTTGTATACAAAAACAACTGTGAGCTGCACAGACAATAATGAATCAGGGAGAGAAAATCAGAGGAAAGTGAAAAGCACATAGAGCTAGTCTACTAAACGATATTTGTCAAATACATGTGAGCTTAAATTTCTGTACTTATGTACAAGAGTTGTCTTTGGAGGAAAGAGAACTGCAGACTTGGCTAGATGGATACACACAGCCCAGAATTAAACTGCACAGCGACATTTATTGTTCCAGCCTGGAAAAACATCCCTTTTTTAAATTTCACACAGCAAAGCATGTTAAAAACTTCACTCATCAAATAAATGATAATTTAAACAAGAACTTGCTAAAGAAACCTCATCACAACAACGTTTTAGGGCCTGATCACTTTAAGTCCATGGGGCCATTAATGAATATCAACCAAATGTCTCTTTATAATCTGCAAGCCGTTTTTCCTACAACAAGAAGGCGTAACATGTTTCCTTGACTCAGGTGATACATTAGGAAAGAAATCATGATTTGTTTCTTTTGCTGTAACAGGCAGACACTGCACTTCTTGTTGTGATCAGGAAAGATGGAACGACTGCTGCCCTTCTCTTGCTGCTATCAACAGTTTTTCACGCATTATCTCAATGCTCGAATAGTCCGGCAACTTCAGATAGTTCACACAAGTCATTACAGAGGGCAAGAAGTCATCTGGGTTTTCTGTTGATTCAAATGTCTTTCGGACAATTGTCAAAGGTGGATTCAAACTCCGGAATCCTGATTAAGAGAAAAACAAAGACAAGGAACTTAAGTTTTTAAAAAACGTCAACTATCAGAAAATATTCCACCGCTCTGCTGTACAACATTATACACAAGGCATTCTTTCTTGCTTGGCAATTACACATTCAATATACAGTAAGTGCAAGGAACCTGCTTTATCATTTAAAAAATCGCTATGTAACATGGAGGCAACAGTTCTTTATGCCTTCTGATTTTTAAAATGGAATACCCACAGTGGTTCACGGCTGTAATCTCAGCACTCTGGGAGGCCGAGCTGAGTCAATCGCTTGAGAGTTTCAGACCAGCCTGGGCAACATGGAGAAACCCTATCTCAACAAAAACACAAAAATTAGCCAGGCATGGTGCTGTGTTGTGCCTGTAGTCCCAGCTAGACAGGAGGCTGAGGCAGGAGGATCTCGCTTGAGCCCAGGAGGCAGAGGTTGCAGTGAGCCAAGATCACGCCACTACACTCCAGCCTGGGCGACAGAGTGAGATCCTGTCTCAAAAAACAAAACAAATCAAAAACAATAGAATACCAATTTAACTTATATTAGGATTCAATCTGAAAAACCAGATTTTAGAATCCATTCTCATCTAAGTCAACTAAGAGTTTAGAATGTACAAATGGCCTGGAATTTTATCTAACCAGCATCACACATGTATTAGTAATCCCACTTCAATTTAAGACAAACCCCACGAATTTCCCTGCTAGTGGTCTCAACGTACTCTAATGATATTGGAATAACTAAGAGGCACTGCAAGTGAGATAAAGAATCTCTTGCTGATGGTCCTGAAGTTTCACACTCACAAACCCACCCATAGGTAGAATAAATGCTAAACATCAACATCGTACCCACCTCCAACAGGCAATCTTGGGCTACCAGTCACAAACTGGAGAAATAACCTCTGCTGCTCATTATCAAAACTACTGAGAATCTCAAACAAAAACTTCACAGCCCGACTATAACAGAAATAAATATACCACAATTATTTCATCAGGTTAGAGTTTTAATCACATTGCATTGCATCACATGACGTCAAAATTAGATAGATTAGCACTTTTAAATTACACATGTATTTCCATTACAATGTATTCAATCAAATTTGTTTCTGTTATGACTAGAATTCAAATGGAATGATTACGGTTGTAATAAGTAAGACCTGATCTGGTACTGTACAGATATTTCTGCTTCACTATGTGTAATAATGGGGAACAGGATTAAATCTGTCTTCCCCAACCCCTAGTATTTTCACAGAAATACTTGAGAAAGAAACCCTTGGGTCTTAATTTCCTATCTTGAGAGAAGTAAGGCCAAAACAGAAGCAAGCATCCATTAATAGGCAGACACATTTTAAAATGAACCACTCCAATTTTTGTTGTTTACACATGTGCATGTGTGCATACACACACCCCCCTCTCCACATTCTTCAGAATGAACAGAAAACCCGGCAGAGCCCAGTACTTACCTGTCATGAGTGTAACCGTGATCAGGCCTGCAGCATTCCATCAGTGTCTTTGCATCCCAAGTGTCTGCTTTACTGCCACAAAGGAGCTGATCCAGCTGTGAGTTCAAATAAGGGTAAAGAGAATTAGGAAAGAAACATTTGCTTACCTGAGTGAAAATAAAGGTCTATGTGTACCACACAAGAGTATCAGTCTCAGTACTAAAACTTTCTGCTTGGGACCTCTTTCTAAAAAAAAATTTAGAGATTCTACTTCCTTTTTAGCTGTACACTATTAAGCACCCTGCCCATCTGTAGGGACTTGGTTCTGGAGAAACCCTTCCTCTCAAACCAAAAGCACCTGATGACCCTTGATTTCAGTTTTCCTTTCGTCTCATTACTTTAGGTGCTTTAAATGGATAATCTGCTTCTAATCAGGGAGATTTTATAAATCCTGGCTTTCAGAAACACAAAAGTATACAGTAACAGATGCCAAGGGAGAGAACATTGAGCTGGAGAAAGAAGTGGGATAAGCAAGCTGAACTAGGACACAGCAAATGGGTAGGTCTTTACACTTCGTAGAGAGGCATGTCTACGCCATATGGTTGGTTGTATGGGGACCAACCTAGATATTATAGAGTGCATATTAGAAAGCAATATATGCTTTCATGTCCTTAGAAAATCTAACATTGGTTTCAAATTAGAACCATGCCTTTCCTCTGGTTAACTGCTGATTTGTAGAAGACTGCATACTTCGAGAAAATCCAATTTGAGGCCAATGAAATTTAATATCTATTATATACTGCTCACTGTTTGCTCCTATATGTTTAAAGACAAAGCCTTGCTCTGTTGCCCAGGCTGGAGTATAGTGGCCTAATCACAGCTCACTACCGTCATGATCTCCTGGGCTCAAGTGATCCTCCAACCTCAGCCTTCCAAGTAGCTGAGACTACAGGTGCATACCACCATGCCCAGCTAATAATTTTTATTTTTATTTTAGACGAGGTCTCACTATGTTGCCCAGGCTAATCTTAAATTTCTGAGCTCAAGTGATCTTCCCACCTCCATCTCCCAATTGTGCCCAGCCTATTTAATTTCCATTACTCTGACAGGGGTTATTCCAATTTTACAGATAAACAGTCCTATCAGATACAGTAACTTGGATAAGGTTATACAGCAAGTGGTGAGGACCATGACTCTATTCCAGGTGACAAGCAGTGCCTACAAGTATCAGGCACACTACATGCTTAAAAAAAGTAGTAAATCAAAGTAGACACAAATGTAACTGAGATTAAGATATTGAGTTAATCAAAAATTTACAGATTCAGTCAGTAGTGGACGTACACTCTAAAACTAGTATTCAAACAGTAAATAAAAAGATTTCAAAACGGAGGGAAACTGGACACATTCTAGAGCCTTTCTATATCTCACGACCAGTGAGCACTTCTTTTGAGATTTGGCACTTCAGATAAAGATGGTAATATGGTTTGGCTGTGCCCATACCCCAAATCTCATCTTGAATGGTAACTCCCACAATTCCCACCTGCTGTGGGAATGACCTGGTGGGAGGTAACTGAATCATGGGGGGCGGGTCTTTCCCAGGCTATTCTCATAATAGTGAATATGTCTCATGAGATCTGATGGTTTTAAAAGGGAGTTTCCCTGCACAAGCACTTGTCCTGTCTACTGCCACGTAAGATGTGCCTTTCACCTTCCACCACGATTGTGAGGCCTCCCCAGCCACGTGGAAATTTACAAAATAAATTTCTTTCTTTTGTAAATTGCCCAATCTCGGGTACGTCTTCATCAGCAGCATGAAAACCGACTAATACAGATGGCTAGAGAAAACCAAGCACATAAATCCATTTCTTCCATTCTCAGAAGTATTCTCTGTATTTGGCAATTAGATAATTTGTAATAGTTTCTTAAAACTTCAAGGACTAACTTTGTGAAACAATGTCTCATCGAATCGAAGTTTCATTAAGGAATAAAGTAAAGGCCCCTCCATGTCTCTTGGCTTCCACAGCAGTACAGAAACATGCAGAACATGCCACACACCACACAAGTCCCCATTCTCCACTGAATGGCACTGAGGGTCTAGGCTGACAAAGATGCTATGCTTACTCTGTCACGCGTGGAACCCGCTCCTCCAATCTAAGAGAGGACACCTACTTAACATTCTTATTTGCTCAGGAATTCTTTCTTTCCTTGTCTTTCCCAAACCATCACATGCTATCAAACACCCATTTTGTTGTTTTTGTGCAACAATACGGTCTCTGACTAGGCAGCACAGAAACATTCCACTAAAATTATAGGTATGACCATTTTTTAGACATAAGCTACTCACTTCCTCCGGGTAGAAGTACTGAAGATGACTGAGTGGGAAGACTGATTCAAATCCATCTCTGAACGAATCAAATTGCCTAGCAACGCCTTCATTTAGTGCCCAGAATATAACCAGCTGCAAAAAGAAAGTTTTCAAAGAACTGTGACAAAATTTCAAATCTCTTTATTATTTAATATGTGGCAAAGTACAGTGAAACACCCTTCTGGATCACTTAATAAAGAATAAACAAGTTATTAAGTCTTTAAAATATCTGCTAGAAAACTACATGAGTAAAACCTCAGGTTGACATCTAATGTGGGGCTCTTACCAATAACAAAACGTAAAAAAATGCCATGTGCATTTATATTTAGTATGTTTAAAAAATCTACGTATGTTAAACCCATGCCATAGAGTTATATTACCTCACTAGATGGGAATCAAATGAGAACTTCCCAAGAGGATAAAATGAATTAAAGGTAATGTTTGAAGAATCACAATTACCCACTATGAAGGGTTTTTAATTTTTAATGTAAAATGTTTAGTTGTAAATCCTGGGAAGTTCTTAGACCCAACCTGTCTGCAGTGTGTGCTTCCTATTAGAAGTAGGCAAAGCCTGGAAATGAAGCCACACACAATTGGAGGGTAAGAAAAAGCAACTCTTACTGGTCCAACAATCTAAATGTTAACTCATTATTTGCTAGGAAGATGGAAGAATAGCTTTCACAAAGTCAGAAGAAACAGGATGAGAAGACAGTCCCACTGACTATTAAAAAGGAATTACTTATGAATCACACAACTGTTAAGTAACAGGGGATTTTGGTTGTTATTATTATTTCTTTTGAGACAGAGTCTCGCTTTATCGCCGAGGCTGGAGTGCAGTGGCATGATCTCAGCTCACTGCAACCTCCGCCTCCCCAGTTCAAGCAATTCTCCTGCCTCAGCCTCCCGAGTAGATGGGACTACAGGTGTGCACCACCATGCCTGGCTAATTTTTGTATTTTTAGTAGACACGGGGTTTCACCATGTTTGTCAGGCTGGTCTTGAACTCCTGACCTCGTGATCCACCCACCTCAGCCTCCCAAAGTGCTGAGATTACAGGCATGAGCCACTGCGCCCGGCCGGTTATTATTTAACCTATAATCTCTCTCTCTTTTAAAGCTGATGAAGAAACTGGAGATGAAGTTTTTCAGAGGCTCCATCTAAAGTCCCACAGCAAGTTAGTGGAAAGGTCAGTTCAAGGGGTAGGTGGCCATTCTGACCTAAATCCAATGCCTTTTCCACCCAATGTCAGGAATAAACCAAAACAAATTTGTCAAACATTGGTAATAAGGATCTATATATAGTTGTAATTTAAAATACAATTTGTGTTCAATATAAAATTACTTTTCCTGAATTTAGCAAATATAGTCAAGCATCACAAATTAATATATACATGCTTTTTTTTTTTTTTTGAGACAAAGTCTCACTCTGTTGCCCAAACTGGAGTGTAGTGGCGCAAGAGTGGCTCACTGGAACCTCCACCTCCTGGGTTCAAGCGATTCTCCTGCCTCCGCCTCCTCAGTAGCTGGGACTACAGGTGTGCACCACCACACCTGGCTAATTTTTGTATTTTTAGTAGAGATGGGGTTTCACTATGTTGGCCAGGCTGGTCTTGAACTCCTGACCTCGTGATCTGCCCACCTAGGCCGCCCAAAGTGCTGGGATTACAGGCATGAGCCACTGTGTCCAGCCATATATATATTTAGTGCGTTTTAAAAATCTATTTATGTGAAACCTATGCCATAGAGTTATATATTGCCTCACTAGATGGGAATCAAATGAGCATTTCCAAAGAGGATAAAATATTATTGAGAATTAAAGGTAATGTTTGAAGAATCACAATTAGCCACTATTAAGGGTTTTTAACTTTTTTTTTTTTTTTTTTTTGAGATGGAGTCTTGCTCTGTCGCCCAGGTTGGAGTGCAGTGGTGTGATCTTCACTCACTGCAAGCTCCGCCTCCTGGGTTCACGCCATTCTCCTGCCTCAGCCTCCCAAGTAGCTGGGACTACAGGCGCCTGCCACCACACCCGGCTCATTTTTTGTATTTTTAGTAGAGATGGGGTTTCACTGTGTTAGCCAGGATGGTCTTGATCTCCTGACCTCGTAATCCGCCCACCTCGGCCTTCCAAAGTGCTGGGATTACAGGCATGAGCCACTGCGCCCAGCCAGGTTTTTAATTTTTAATGTAAAATGTTCTAAATCCTGTGAAGTTCTTAGAACCCAACCTGTCTACATATATATATATGTATTTTTAAGAGAAAGGGTCTCGCTCTGTCACCCAGGCTGGAGTGCAGTGGTGCAACCTTGACTCACTGTAACTTTGAACTCCAGGGCTCAAGCGCCCTCCCACCTCAGCCTCCCAAGTGGCTGGGACTACAGGCTCGTGTCACCACACCCAGCTAATTTTTGCATTTTTTGGTAGAGATGAGGCCCCCACTTTGTTGCCCAGGCTGGTCTTGAACTTCTGGCCTCTAGTAATCCTCCTCCTGCCTCTGCCTCCCAAAGTGCTGGATTACAGGTGTGAGCCACTGCACCTCGCCCATAAGTCAGTAATTTGAAAGGTGTCACCAAACATAAAAGTGTGCACTGCACATGCCTGGAGTAAACTCTGTCAAGGTAGCTGCCTTGATGGAAATGCAAAAACGCAATTTAGTAAGAACACAAATGATCTCTCTTTTCACTAATTTTTTAAACTAGGAAAATGTGGTGTAATTAGATAGCATTCAAGCCTGAGGAGAAATAATTCAAGGTTATATAAGACAAGAAATATCTGATATGTGCACTTAAGAGCAAAGAGCTCTTGAGTCAAGCAGCCTTCATGCACTGGTCCTGGGGATGCGGAAGGTCTCAAGCCATAGCGTGTGCAGCCAGAAGCAAGGTACAATCAGGCAAAGTCCTCTGTCTTCACAACTGGCCTACCCCCCAAAGACGCACAATTACATACTCTTAGATACTCCTCTAAATTGTGGATAGTGACTGGTATATCCTTCCCTCCTTTCTTCAGTTCGATATTGGGAAACCCTGGCAGAGTGAAATCCAGTCCTAGATCTTCAACTGAGCAGCCATTCATAGTCAGGGTTTCTAATGCATACTGTAGACTCTCTTTGGTCTAAAAAACACAAATGGGGGAGAAATGGTATCAAGCAAAATTAACTCACAGTTTTTTGTTTAAAAAAATAAAAGATATCCTAATAAAGCTGATGGTTTCCTTTAACTCTTAGCTTCTTTATTTTTTTCCTGGTCATAATCTACATATGAACGAGTCACTGAGATCACAAAGGAAGTAAGTATAAGAAAAGAGGGCTGAAGTCCTTCTTCATTATGGGATGCTGCTGCTCAATTTAAGCACATGCAAATCAAATTTCACAGTAAGTGCATAATAGGTTGCGTATTAGTTAATTTTAAGAATGTGGACCCTAGAACTAGACAAACTTTTCATTAATTCTAGGCTAATCTTGAATCCAATACTGTATAAGTATACAGCAAATACTGATAATACAGTTGGGAAATTGTAAATATAAAAAACGTACTATCTAGTGATAGTGATTAACTTTCTCCCCCTGCAAAGCTCGAGTCTACAGAATGAAGCCTGTAGAGGCTTCATTCAACTACTTCAGGTCTCTGATGCATAACAAGTTTGTATCCATGCAGCAACACTGTGATTAAAAAAAAAAAAAAAAAAAAAAAAAAGTTCCAAGAAATCCCTAAGAAAAAAGCAAGCAATACTTTATAAGACAAATGTTAAAAAATCTTTATTACTCACTTTTTAAAAATGTGTAAGATTATAAAAGGTCTAGGTAAATTTTTTTTAAACTTAAGGATCAAAAACCAACATACCAAAATGTAAATTCCATCTAAAAATGAAGACATCAAGTTAGGAGAAAGAAGACAAATGGCTTTCCAAACTGGAAATGCCTCCGTGTACGAAATTCCTATAGGCTAACAATTAAGGTACAGAAAATTAAGTCATTTAAACTAGAAATGGTTAGAATGTTCTGATTAATTAATTAGTCATTTTTTAAAGAGCAAACTAAATGCTGTTTAGGATTCTAAATAATTCAGAATACCAAGGAGTCAGCAGATTATTGAAAGTAAATGGTCACAAAATTATGTCCATTTTTGCTTCTCTGCAAAAACCCACTTTTAAGCCTCTCTCCATTTTAGGTGCCATTTGAAGTCCTCCAAAGGGAGGCATTTTACTTTACATTTGAGGTATTCTTCAGCAGAAAGATTAAAAAAAAAAAACAAAAAAAGTTCTCCATTTTCATGTTCCCCCACTGGTAGGTTCTCAAAACTATCCTCATACTCCCTGTCACAGATTAAGGTGATTACTATTACACTATTGGAAAGTCTTCTCTCATAGCTACCAAGGAAATTGGTAAATTTATTTGTAAAGATGTGCATTACAAAGTGTTGTTATTAGACAGGAATCTAGAACTTACAATGTCCTAGAGATGTTTAAAGGGAATTTACATTAGTTTCTCTAGATTTTACATAGTAAGTCGAGAAACTAATGTAAATTCCCTTTAAATATCTCTAGAACATTATAAATTCTAGCACATTTTCCGTATCTCTAGAGACTTTAAGCTACCAAGTAGAATCCGAGCCAGGACAACTTGCCCCATCTCTATACTTTATTAAAGAAACAGGATGTGGTTTTTCAGAATGTCACCATTTCTCATGCTCTTGTTCACAGTGGGTTATTATGTCAATTTCTGGAGTGTGGATTCTGTGCCATTCATTTTCTATTTTTAAACTGACAACATCAGGAATAATAAAGGATAGAACAAATCTCAAATACAAACAAACAAACAAACAAAAACTACTGACAAGAGAACTGTGGCGGCGTACTGCATTTGAGACAAGCATATATAATAGAGTAGAGCTTGCATGGTGTGGAAGCATGCAGACAGCCTGGGTTTGAGCTCCTGCTCTGTGTTCTCTAGGTGTGTCAGTGGCCTTAGGCAGGCTGCTCAACCTGTCTGCCCTGGTTTGCTCACCAGTAAAATAGAGATAACAACCCCAATCTCACATGGTAGTTGCTGGGATTAAATAAATTAACATAGATATGGTACCTAAAACAGAGTCTCCTGTTTTACTTGCTTTTTTGTTCTTCCTTTTTTTGTTTTGCCATTATTTACCTAAGAGATAATCCTAAACAACACTGTAATAGTTTAAAACTTACCAAGTTGTTAAGTAAAAACCAAAATGGTTCTAAAAATTCTAAAATGACAAATTTTGTACAGAAAAGTGGACTTAGCCTCTTTGAATACCAATTTCTCTTAATAGACTTACTTTTCGAAACAGCACCACATAATTACAAATTAATACGGGGAATAAAGTGAATCTCCTTACAAATCTTCTAATGAAAAGGCACTCTAAAATCTTATCCCTCTATTGTAAGATCCTCTCCACCTCATCAGGAGAGGTGACACTCTCCCTCACTACAGAATCTCAATGCGCTATTCTTATTTATAAAATGAGGGTTGATTTAATATTGGTCCAAGTTACCAGTCCAAACAGAAGCTTTCTGGGTCTGTGCCACAAAAAAAATAGAACCTTGTTTTCTTCTAATACCAGATACAGAACTATTATTAATCTCAGATTAAGTAATTTATCTATTGTTAATCATATACATTAAAATTACACAGTAATGATATGAAATTCAAGGTTATCTATGAGATGTCACAGAGAAACCTCAACATGTATTACCAAGGAATAGTTGTTGGCACTCACAGTGACCTTTAAAAAATATCTTCCTGAGATCTCTTGAAACAACACTGTTCCTAAATTAAGGTACCTTTCTTGAAAATAAATCTGTTCTGAGAATAGTTTTACTGATTCAAATGCTTACTAAAAGATGATATAATATCTGCCCAGATACATCAGAGCTCTTATTTATGGTCTGATTTAGAATTGTATTTTATTTGCTAATCAAGATGTTTATAACCTGCTCTGAGTATAGGTCATGTGACCCACTGTGAAATCGTATGTCTTAGTTAGTATAATAAAAGAATTAAAATCTCCTAAAATAAAACATTACTATAACAACTGAGACAAATACAAACCATTTAACAAAAGCCTCATTTTTCTAAAATAAAGACCTGATCCACTCGACTGTTTCTTCTAAGCCTACCTGGGATTTATCTTGTTCAAGTCTTTTCTTTTGTCTGACAATGTCTTCTAGGTGGTAAACTGATCTGGCTACAACTGGGTCGATGTCAAACAAATCGTGTGATGTCAGTGAAGTTTCTTGCCGTAGCATCCATTTATAAAAGGGTAAGCCAAGGGGAAGGTCCACCTGAAACGGAATATGCATAATATTTTCACTGTCACACTAAGCTTCCAGCATTACCTCCATCTAAGGCACTTCAGGAGATCATTTAAATATTAATAGGTCAAGTAATCCCCAAGAAAGAAAATTCTGTAGTTAGGAACTATTTCTCCCACTACACAAAACTGATTCTCTTGATTTGGGGCTCTAAACGCAACTCCACTGTAGTCTGTATTATTGAATATCCCAAAGCAAAAAATGTTAAGGGAAAAAACTTACTATATTTAAAATAGCAAACTAAATGGAACTTCTAAACTAACTGATAAACTGCCCACTCTTCAGTTAAAGTGAAATTGTAAACTTGTCAATTTGGCCACAGGTGAAAATGTCTTATTAAACATACTGATAAAGTGCCTCTGGAAACGGGAGAAGAGCATGGTGGCTCGTGGCTGTACCTCCCCAGTGCTGTGGGAGGCCAATGTGAGGGGATTGCTTGAGGCCAGAAATTCAAGAGAAAAAGAAATGAAGAAACGTCCAGAAACATTCCAACCTCTATGAATGCTGATCACTTGGGTTATTTTCACAACAGCACTCTAATGTAAATTTAATGAAGTTTAGTTACATGCACAAACTTTCCTACCGAATTGAAAAGGTAATGTCAGACTCTAAAAAATAAATAATTAATACCACCTTAACTTGCCTGATTATCTGAATCCTTGCTACCCTAGGAGTGGTCCACAACCTGGCAATTGGGCGTGCCCTGGGAGCTGATAGGAAAACTTAGAATCTTGGACAGTAGGACAGTCTTACCCCTGCCCAACTGAATCAGAACTGGCATTTTTAACAAAATCCCCAAGTAATTCACATGTGTATTAAAGTTTGAGAAGCACTGTTCTGAAGTATAGCAGTAACTACAGGGGACTGAGGTACTTGCAAAGAACATTCTACACCAAACCTGCAAAAAGCAAACCATCCTAAACTTACCAATCTGAAATCCATGATAGCCTTGGCCATTAATTTTCCTAAGAAGCGAAACTTCATCTTAACCTTTGCAATATGAGCTGGCTTTGCTGTCCTACCAAAGGGAAGCGCAAACAGGCCCTGGAGGTTTTGAATATACTTGGTCCCTTCTTGGCTTCCTGAAAAACAAGCAATTCACCAAACTTTAGATGATGTTTCCAAAAACAAAACAAAACCTGGTAACTAAGAACATTTAAGAAATTAAGTATTCTCAAAATGGGAGTGCAGATCACTGAATGAAGTCCTCTAGAACTGGACAGGCCTTCCCTACTTGATAAAAGAGAAAACAGAGGCTATAAAGAAGCAAGTACAGTTGTCCATTAGAAATTAAATATATTTAATAAACCATCAGAGTCCATTACCTAATCTGAGTAACACAAACCAACTAACTTACAGATAGGCATTACCTTTTGGATTGCTAAGAGTTACTTCTTCACCTCTCCAAAGACCCAAGTCAGCTCTCTGTAGTTCCTGAGATACAAGCGCATAAAACTCCAGTGTAGGCCCAAGACCTGTACCAACCTACAGAGGAACACAAGTAGAACGATTTCAAATTTTAGAAATTGTGCTTTTTTACTGCCAACCTCTTGGATATGTGGACACTAACAGCAACTTGTTTACCAGGATGCATTAGAGATTATTTTCCAAAAATGTCCTGACTGGATTTATTCTTTCAGTCCTGGTCACCTGGACAAAAACTAGCAACTCTTCATTACTTCCTACCCGCTAAGGCCCCAACATGTCAGTTGAACGATTTCAGGTTGTACTCACAGAAGTGCCACTGTGGCTACATATCTTTCCTTCAGGAACAATATGGCATTGTCTGCGTATGGATGTCTTTCCCCTTTTTCTCTTTAGTGAACTGTTACCCCAAACCAGCTCAAATGTCACCCTCTCAAGGGGAAGGCTCCCCTCAACATCTGCTCCCAACAGTTAGTTTGCTCCTTTTTTCTTGGGGCTTATTTTACAGCTACTTAAATACTTACTACATTACTTTACCAAAATGTCAGTATATGCTTGTATATTTTGCAGGATGATAACTGTTTGGGTCACCCTGTATCTCTGATAGTACCTGACACACAGTAGCCATTTAATAGAGATGTGTCAAATAAAATACAAATAATGAAAGGTCTGATTCCACACCAGCACAGACAGGACTGATGGCGTCATACAGGACACCAATGCTTCTCAACTCCCAGGGTGCACTGGAATCCCCAGAGCGTTAGCCACATGCACATATAGGGGTGCCACGTCCTGAGGATTCTGATCTGGCACGTTCAGCTTAGAGCCTGGGCACTGGTATTATTAAACAAGCTCCGAAGGCGACTGTGCAGCCTAAAGTTAAACTACTCCTCCATGAGACACCTGATGTGGACATGCCTGAAGCAGTGTTCATAGCTTGCTCATTCCTTCCTGTTCTGTCAAGGTCCTACCAGATCAGACCATAAACAAAGATATGCAGGTAGTAACAAGTTCCTATCATAGGTTATATACTAAATCTAACTGTAACCCTGTCAAGAAGGCAACATTTATAGATTACTCGTAAACAAAGGGTACTATTTTAGCATTATTATGGTTACTCTTAAAAATTACTCACACTAGTTTAAAAGTTTAGAGGTAGTCCACTAAACATTTAACTCTTTCAAAACAGAGATCTGCTTGGGCCTAGTGGTGCTCTCCTGATTAACCCCTAATCCTATTAGAATTCCGTACCAGTAAATGGTATCACCATTAACCCCAAAATGAATACTCCAACCAAATCCTTAGAGCTGTCCTTGGCCATTCTCTAAACCCGCACAATCCAATCCATCAGTAAATACAATTTAAGCGCTGCCTTCAAAATGCATTCTAAACTAATTACCAACTTTACCCAGCTGCTATCCTCTGTCATCTGGTCTACTGCTAAAGTCTCCTAGATGGTCTCTGCACTAACATTCCCGACATCTTCTATCCCATGCTCATAGGAGCAAGCGTAATCCTTACAAAACACAAGTTCGCGGCATTCCTTTGCTGCTTTCCAAAGGTTTTTCATCTCATTCAAAGCAGAGCTCCAGTTCTTACCATGGCCTACATGACCCCTTTGCACATCCCACTCAGTCTCTTTGACTCCTCCTACTCTGCCCTTGCTCACTATGCTCGAGCCACACTCATCCTCCAACAGGCTAGGAACACTGCTTCTCTGTTCTTGTGCTAGAGATACTTTTCCCCCAGATCGCAATGACTTGGGTCCACTCAAATGTCCTCGGACCACGCTATGCGTCCCCATAATGCTTCATCCTCTTATTTTACTTTTCTTCCACACGGCCTAACATATACGTGTACATGAATGTGTGTGGATGTACTGGCCTCCCCAAACAAAAAGATAAGCTCCATCATGGGGTGGGAGTACTTTGTATATTCTGTTCTACACTGAATCCCAGGCACTGGAGGACTGAGGAACAAAAGAGAAGCAAAGAAAAACCTGCAGTAACACATGGTATCCACCAGATGGTGCTAGTTAATGCTCCTTTCGGCACACTATTATCCCAGGTTTAACAGAAGTCACAGATCAAATTAGTCTATTTCCTTCATCCAATGCTGTTGTTTCTAAAAGGATTCTTAAAATATTAAATCACTAACAGCACTTCCTCTGTGAGCCTCTGCAGAAGGTGGAAGGCCCAGGTCATGTCTGCTTTGCTGATACAACCTAGGGGTGGCCAGCCTTCCCACAGAGCAACCTGATCTCTTCAGGGATTATCATTCTACCAAGCTACACCACTAAAAGGGCAGGTACTCGGTTGAGCTTCATTTTTCTTTTAAAGGAAAGGAAAGCATAAAACCCTAGAAACAGAAAAACAAAAGTTTGACAACTTGACTTAAAAAGGAATCTTTTTCTCTCAAAACTAACACATACTGGCACTTACTATATGACAACGTTCTGAGTGCTTCACACATTTCAGCTCATTTTATCATTCTAACAACATGAGGAGGCAGGTGCATTAATTATGTAAAGGGCTAAGAGGACACTGATGAGTTTATGTTAACTTGCCCAAAATCACACAGCCAGTAAGTGGGCAGGCCAGGCTCCACGTTCCCCTTTCCTGATCTTTCACCTTCCCAAAAGGAGACTGGGTCACTGGGTCATTTGTAACCCCAGTCCTTGGGGTTTGGGTGGCTTTGTGAGCCCAAAGACTGGTATAATCCTTCCTTGGCTTACCAATCATCCCAATTCAAATAGAAGCCCACACTGTGACCTGAGATTTTCATTGGGATTCTTCTAGAGCTAGTTAGAAATTCTTCCTCAAGGCTACTAGCTGACATGTACAGCTGAATTTGAATCATAACCTGAAGCCCTATGCATTTCACAAAGTCACTGCTTGTGAGGTAGGGGTGGAGGTACTTCCCCCTTTCCTAATGAAGCAGCTCCTGGAATCTTTTCTGAGGTCAACAGGTAAGACCTATGAAGAAAGGGCATAAAATCTTGACTTCACATCAGCAATCTAATCCTGCTCCTTAGAACAGTCTGTGTGAAGCCATTCTGAGCTTGTTAGGTTTCATGCAAGATGCAATTTTAACAGAACCGTGAGGGATGAGAGAGGAAAGATATTTCCTGGCAAGAGAAAACTATGCTGGAGTAAGAAAGTAGAATGTATGTTTAAAGAGAATAAAAACATACCAAATGGTTACAGCAAAGGTCCTGTAGTCTTATGAGTAATAAATTTGGATGCAACAACATAGAAGAACCGCATCCTCTGAGCAACAGCCATGATCAAGCTACTAGATTCAAAAAGTTCATATCTCTTATGCCAGCAGTCCAGGGCCTCCACTCCATCTGGCCACCTCCTTTTTATCCCCCTTCTCCCAGCACTTCCACAGCAGTACTAACTTCTGCCACTCACCACCAAGCCTGACCCTTTGCTCAGGCCCCATCTCCTACTAGAAAATGGTCTCTCAATCTTCCTACTCGCCTACACTAAGGTCTAACTCAAGGCATCTTGAGGACAGCACTCCTTGTCTGAATGTGTCATTCATTTGGCACCTGTACCACTACCTTGCCACACTCTTTGGTACCTTTGTCCTGTGTCTCCCTAACTACACTGTCATCTTTTCAGTGCAGAGACTCTGCCCTAACCTGGAACCCTAGCATGCAGTATACTTTCTAGTACACAACAACTTATAATTTTAACTTTGGTGACTGAATACTCTTAGCTTTCCAGAAGTCATCAAGAAGGAGAAAATGCTTAATAAAATGAATGAAAAATCAAAGTCATGATTAAAATTACTTAAATAGACACAGTTAGTATCTCATACACTAAACTGCTAAATCTATGATACTTACCATGAGCCAGTTCATGTACATGAACTCAGTCACAACTTCGAGGTTATACTATTATTACCTACATTTTACAGATAAGAAAGCTGAGGGGCAGAGTGGTTGGCTACTGTAAGTAAATATTTGGTATAATGAAAGATCTAGAAATTTTAAGTCCGTAAGAGGTTCAGGGAAGCCCCAAAACTCTAAGTTTTGTCTTAAAAAAAAAATTAGGTGGAAGAAAAGGGGGAAGTATCCCAAGAGACTTAAATATACAGAAAATCATTACTTGAATCTTTTGGTATGCAAATGTTCATAGCAATGTTAGTCAAAATAGTCAAAAACTGGAAACAACCAAAAAGTGAACCAACTGGTGATTGGTAAACATATTTTGGTATACCCATATAATGGAATACTCAATATATAGTTCATATAATAGAACTATTCCATAATAGGAAACAAATTGACACATGCAACATGGATGAATCTCAAAAGCATTATGCTAAGTGAAAGAAAAATGTCAAATGACTACATACTGCATGATTCCATTTATGATATTATAAAAAAGATAAAATTACAGGGACAGAAAATACGTCAATGGTTATCAGGGGCTGAGGATTGGTTAGGGGACAGAACGACTGATTTTGCATGAAATAGGGGCACTTTTTGTGGTGATCGGAGTATTCTTTATCTTGATGTGAAAGTGCATCTGTCAACCCTTAAAACTACATTTCTGAAGTGTGCAGTTATTATTTATATCTCAGTAAACCTGAATTTTTCAAAAAGGCAATTCAAACATTTTGAAAGTTATCAACTGTTTAAAATATCCTTTCAGTTTATCAACTGAAAGACTAACAATACAAATGTGTTCTTACGCCAGGAAAAAAACTGCCTTTTAGTATGTAGTTGAACCTTTGAAAAATGGGGAACTCAGAACAAATCATTCAAGAGAAAAGAGAGCAAACTCCCAACTGTCTTTCAGAATTTCATAGTACCAAGAAACTCAAATAACATTTAATCAAGAACACAAGTCAAACTAAATAACCATCACCGGACTCCAAGCTCACCTCATTTTCATACTGGATTTCTAACATGGCCCGTGAGCTGCCGAGGTCCTGCATCACAGACTCCGCCTGTTTCAGCAGCTCCTCTCTGTTCACAGTACGCTACGAAGAAAGTACAACTGTCAGGAAATTATGCTCTACCAATATTACACTTTAATAAACAGGTGGCATTTCTTGAAATGCAAAAGAACAAAATCAACTCAATTGTTAACACTTATTCCTTAAACAGGTAACTCAGAAAAGGTTAAGAGGTAGCAGTATTGTTACAAACATCAACAGCATCTTGGCATACATTAAGGAAACCAGATGCAAGAGTAATTACTAATTTATCTTGTGGCCATGGCAAGTTCAGAAAATTCAAGTTGGGGAAGAAAAAAATCATCTTTGCCAAGTATCAATGCAATTCTCAGGGCTGCAGTTTCATGAAATCTCCCTGGGTACATTTATATTTAGATAGAGAAATAGATATGGAGGTGACAGGTCAAACAGGTGAGCTGGAAACCTATTGGCTCTGATCTGCCAAGATCCTACAAGCACTACTACAAACACCTGCGAATGAGATTTTAAAAGGTCCTGCTAGATTTCTAATTTATGCCAATATCAGTGCTTATGGAATCCTAATGAGGATATGAATAGGATGACTTTTTTTTTTGTTTTAGACGGAGTCTCGCTCTGTTGCCAGGCTGGAATGCAGTGGCATAATCTCAGCTCACTGCAGCCTCCAACTCCCTGGTTTAAGTGATTCTCTTGCCTCAACCTCCCAAGTAGCTGGGATTACAGGTATGCGCCACCACGCCAATTTTTTTTTTTTTCTTTTCATTTTTAGTAGAGATGGGGTTTCACCGTGTTGGCCAGAATGGTCTTGATTACCTGACTTCATGATCCGCCCCGCCCGCCTCAGCCTCCCAAAGTGCTGGGATTACAGGTATGAGCCACCACACTGGGCCCAAGAAGATTTTTTTAACTACAATGTTCGCTTTATGTTTTGTTTTGCTTTTCAGTATACACTTCACTCCCTGCCACCCATCTAACTCCTTTATTTTATTACTAATGTCTCTTATGAGACTTTTGGAGATAAAGCCTTTAGGAAAAGAAACTTAAATCCCTAGCAAAAAAAACAAACAGGTAAATGAACAGAAAAGACCTAAGTAAAAACAGTGCTGGTGAGAACTGTAGAATCGGTCTCCACTGGAAATGGCTCAGGGCACTGTGGTTCAGAGCCACAAATGTGGAGCCAAGATGAGAAACACAGATTAAGTTAGCAACACTGGGGCTAACCGGTAGAAGAGACTCAAAATATATTAAGGATTTTGTTTCAGGCTCTTCTAGTTGGAGTGACTTGTTAAGGGAATGAAATGGATCCAATTAATTCCAACTATTACATAAGGGATCAATTTTTAAAGGCAGGAGATAGTTTGAACTCCTAATTTAGAATGAAAAAGTTTCAGTGAGAGAAGACAAGATTCTTTCTTGGTCTAAGAGTTACGACAACTAAAAGAGCAAAGAGAATTGTAGAAATTATTTCAGAAACTGGCGGGTGGGGAGGAGAGAAACTCTTAACGAAGGATAAGGAAGAATCACAGATAGCCCAGTTCCAAGAGACTGAAAGGAAAATAGGGCTAGCTGACTAGGACCAAGGCCTCCACGACCAACATGCATATTTAGATACACTAGATTTCTAGTTTTCCCATTATTTTGAAAAGCTCAGATTATTTAAAGATTTCGGGGAGAAACTTACTTTTTTTCTATCCAATCTAGGTGCAACTCTGCTATCTTGAGAATCAGACTGGTTGATTTCTGGGTTGGTATCAAGTAATCTTTGCATTGCTCGGTCCCGATCAAATGCAGTTACATAAAAAAGCATTTGCCGGGTATCAAAAGGAAAGAAAAATGGGCTGTAAAAAGATGCAATGTAAGTTTATTATCTGGATGAGAATTAGAAACTACTAAAAAAAAAAAAAAAAAAAATCCAAACTTATATTAGAAACAACTTTTGATATGATATAGAATAAAAATTGTAAATAAAATCAGTAAAAATTGTTCAGGTCAATTTGTTTATTGATTTTGAGATGGAGTCTTGCTCCCGTCGCCCAGGCTGGAGTGCAGTGGTGTGATCTAGGCTCACTGCAACCTCTGCCTCCCAGGCTCACGCAATACTCCTGCCTCAGCCCCCCAAGTAGCTGGGAGTACGGGCTCCTGACACCACAACCAGCTAATTTTTGTATTTTTTTTTTTCTGAGACGGAGTCTCGCTCTGTCGCCCAGGCTGGAGTGCAGTGGCCGGATCTCAGCTCACTGCAAGCTCCGCCTCCTGGGTTCACGCCATTCTCCGGCCTCAGCCTCCCGAGTAGCTGGGACTACAGGCGCCCGCCACCTCGCCCGGCTAGTTTTTTTGTATTTTTTAGTAGAGATGGGGTTTCACCGTGTTAGTCAGGCTGGTCTTGAACTCCCGACCTCAGGTGATCCACTTGTCTTGGCCTCCCAAAGTGCTGGGATTATAGATGTGAGCCACCGCGTCCAGCCAGGTCAATTAATTTTAAAGAATTTTCATACTTCTTATATGAAATTTCTAAGTGATCAATAGTGCATTAAGTAGCCTTTCAATGCAGAATCTGATATTTAATTTTTCAAATCCTACACTTAAGTTGATAGATCTTTAATCTACCTGAAGGAAGTATAACATGACTAATGAAAGCTCATTTTTAAAATATGACCACCACCTTCATGAGGCACTTGAATCATCCTGAAACCAGCCCTATCTCCCAGTCCATGTCTGTGGAAAAATTGTCTTCCATGAAACTGGTCCCTGGTGCCAAAAAGAGTTGGGGACTGCCGATTTAAATGTATATGGCCAGTGGCTTACATTTACCACTGCAGTTCTAGAGTCCCTGACCCAAGCAGGCTCAGAGAATCAAGCAACTACACATTTGGAATCCAATTTTATGAGAACAGATAATTTTTGACTATCTTCAGCCAAACTGCTATGTGTACTTTCCTATTTCATACATAGACACATACTACCAAGAAGATCCAGCCCCCAAACTTGCCTAGTCTGTTTACATGCTAAAGCCACACAATTAAGCAAGTTGTGATCAACGGTATTAATAAACATTTGACTAGGTCCAGTAAAGACAATGTTTCTGTAACAAAATACATCAAGACCAACCCAGTAACATTTCCAAGGCCACCATTACAGAAGTGATTGTCTTACCAGGTTTTTCCTAGCTCAGTAAGCCATGTTGGGATGTTTCCTGTCATGATTACTAAAGGATCTTGAAGTTGCCTATTTGCTTTTGCTGTTAACTTACTGTTAATAAATTCACTAGTTGGAATAATTTCCTTGCACATTGCATTCTGTAAAATGTTTTAAAAAAAAAAAGTCTACATGTAGTAAAACATTAGGGTTATATTCACAATCTCTTCCATTATCCCCAAATCCATGCAAAGTACCCTGAATTCAGTGCTGGTTGCCGACATACAACACACAGCCTCTCATTACTGTGTCCCACCTAAAACAACAATTCCCACAATACACTGTTAAGCCCTCACATGTACCCCTTGCCACTGCTGGGCACTGCCCCCAGCCACTGCTGCTGGCTCAATCATTCAGTGATGTTGCAGCTAATGTTTCATGCAGGGCCAATTCCTTTACTCTTCTCTATGCTATATAAATATCAACGGCAGCATGCAACTGTTACCCAACTTTTACTTGATATATAAACTTCTCGTTACATGTACCTAAAGAATTTTAACTATAATAAATCCATGTTCAAGTTTCATATTGTAGCTTAATTTCATAAATTTATTGCTAGAGAAAATTTTACAAATCTGCCAAGAGAATTAATCTAAGCCTTTAGTCTTAGACTAGACCGGGAGAAAAAGTGGGGGAGAAGTTTCCATTGATGCGTACATTATACTTTACTGGGCTAGGATCCCTGTATTTAGCTGAATCACTATTTCCATTTCTAGTGCAATAGGAAATTTATCAATCACAGACCATGAAAACTTCTTAAGTAGGCAACGTTACTCACATCATACAAGTAATACCAGTATCGACTGATAGCATGTAAAACTCTTAAAAGAAGGATCACATCTAATGACGGGTCTTCAAATGTTATATTTTCAGGTGGTGTGGGAATGAGGTAAACTTCTAAAGGATTTGATACTGATGGGCACACTCCATCTAAAGGACAAAAGATGAAAGTAAGTTTTGATCAAAGTCAGAAAGGCGAAGCCAGTGCAGCCAAGGTCCTATCATCGCTAAAAGAGTAACGGAAGTTGTTATAGTCAACGCTTGGAATCCTATTAGTAGGGTATTGATAAGTTTGACAGTCTTCCCATTTTATCTTACATATAAAATGCCTTGGCTTATAAAAATTTCATTTTCCCCTCCCAAACCCAAATAAACATTATAATGAAGGAAAGCTGGCTCCTCTACATTTCTCCTTTATACCAGAAACAACACTAAACAGTAAAATGGCTGGAGGAACAGAAACAAACTGTTTAAAGTTAAGTTCACTGTTAGAGAAATTTCCCGGATATTTCATATCCTGTTTGTAACGAGACGAATACCTCAAAATTAAAAATCTGGTAAAAGAGACTTGGTTATTTAATGCAAGGCTTAGGACTGAACAGATTGAGGGTTTTCAAGTAGGGTCTGCAAATCCTTTGTTACTAGGCTGCATTAAGTAAAGGCACCAAAAAAATAAATCTGAGGGACTCAAAACTTTGAGTTTACTTATAGCAAGCAAAATAATAAAAAATCATACCACTATCATTTCGTAAAAGAAAATGGCATTTTTTAACACCAAAAACATAACAATCTCAAAATCAAGAGCCTTTTATATTGAACAAACTTAGTTGTGTGAAAAAAAGTGCCACAGGGCCCGTGGACCAGGGAAACCAGTGTGAGAAAATTACTGTGATGGTGGCAGGGAGGGGGGTGGGGGGGTCTTCCATGGAAAAATAATATTGTCTAACTCTAAGGCATTGCTAGTATCATATTTTTAAAGGGAAGAGGTGGGGGAAGAGAGGAAAACTATAGACGGGAAGGAAGTATTACAGAGAAAAATAAGTCTATTACAAAGTGACGGCTATATTCGATGGTCATTACATTACCTGGCATCACTTTTGATGATTACTATAATTATACTACTGTCATGGGTGACAATAAAAAAGTAGGCACCAATTGGTCAGTGATCACTACCTTCAGTCTCTCCTTTAGTGAACATGTTCTACCAATGAAATTTGTTTCAGCCTTCATAAAAACCCAAACTGTTAATGAATTGGGAATAAGCTTTTTCCCAATTTTCCTTCTCAATTTAATTTTGTAGGTACTTAACTTTTCATTTTCTAGATATTAAAGTTGAGGATTAAATGTGATCAAACTGTTGGTAATTTCATTTATTTCTCAATTATATTCAAAGATTTTACTACTAAGTCCAAATCACTCTCTGAAAATCATGAAAATGGGAAGACTGCCCAGTTGGCAATCCATTTTCCCCTTTATCTACCATCTTACCGTGCCATAACTCATCATGCTTTTTTGCATTTCTAGGGGAAGTTTTCGTTGGAGCTGTTTGGGCTCTTCCTCTTTTACCACCAACACAATCTTTATTACTTTCTTCATCCTCTCTCACAGGTTTATACCTAAAATGACAAGACAGTATATAAACCAAATGTAGATTTTGAAACTGATACAAAGCCAAAATCTAAGCCACAGACACCACAGTTACCAGAAGACCGTTCTGAGATCTATTCCCCTCTCGCTCCCTAGCATGAACGTGGAGAACTTCTTAGAAGAGACCACCTAGAGACCACCTTCCCAGGAGGGGCTGCCTGAGAAACTCCAAGGGTGGTTCTGAGAAGAAAGGCTCTCTTCAAGCATATGTAACAGACACTCACAGACAATGCAGGAAGCTGCATCCAAATGCCTCTTAAGGACTCAGAGATGCCCAACTTCAGATTAACTAATGGAACATCATCTTATGGCAACATTTTTGTCTTAATTAAAGACCTGAAATAAATCTAGAAAAGTAGATGTAAACCATGATTATTGTCCATGAATAAATGTTTTCCAGTAGAATGAATGAGGAGGCTATATATACATATGCATATGTACCTTATCAAATATTTTAAATCGTCTTTAAGAACTAAAATGTGTGATTTAGGGCCCCCTATCCTTATGAAAGCCAGCCATCAAGTTAATGTGAATTCTAAAACACAAGAACAGTTTCAAAGTTTATGAAAAACCAAAAGAAAGAATTTTCAGACTTGCCATATTGTATGAGTCTTTGTCCAGATACCAGCTCTGCCTAGAGGATTGCTCTCATCATCCGTGGATTCTCTTTCATCTTCAGCCTGGATACTAAACTGCCGTACTGCCTGATACACGGTCATGTTATATGGCAGCAAATGTTCTCCAATATAAAACTGCAGCCTGTGTCTTACATTTCCTGAATTTAGGAACTGAGCAGCCTGAATAAAGCAAAGCAAAAGCCATTTAAGCCAAAGGCCCTGAACTTTATATAGTACATTATGACATGGTGGGAATATAGTACCTTACCAGAGACTCATCTATTTCCTCGTCTGATCCATCGTCATCACTGTCTTCATCATCTTCTCTTACTCTTCCATACCCTGAAGACCCAAGTAGACTTTTAAACTCAGAGCGATTTTAGGTGTGAAAAACCAAATCCTGTATACACTGGTTAAACATCTTCTCAGAAAAACACATATAGGTTGAGTATCCCTTATCTGAAATGTTTGAGCGCAGAAGTGTTTTAGGTTTCAAATTTTTTTTCAAATTTGGAATATTTACATATATATAAGATACCTTGGGGACGGGATACAAAGCTAAATATGAAATTCATTTATATCTCATATACATGGTGTGAAGGTAATTATATAGAGTATTTTCAATAATTTTGTGCATGAAACAAAGCGTATGTACACTGAACCATCAGAAAACAAAGTAGTCAGGTGTGGAGTCTTCCACTGGTGGTGTCATGGCAGCAATCGAAGTTTCAGATTCTGGAGCATTTTGCATTTTAGATTTTCAGGTTAGGGATGTTCGACCCGTATATATTACACTCTGATCTATGAAGCAGAAAGGTCTAAGAAAATTGCCAAACACAAAATGTCATTTCTACTACATTTCACCAAGATAAATTAACTCATCACTCAAGTAAGCAGTCAACCCCTAGTAAGTTCAATGTATGACTATATACTAAGTAGAAAAGAAATGACAGGAATGTAAGTTCCTGCCATCTAGGTTTTAACAGAAACAACATTCAACAGAGAAATAACGTATATATCTCTTAATGTAAATTTCTCCCAAATATACATACATAACACACAAAACAAATACATGGAAAGTACCTCTAACTACAAGGTATCTCTCGATGGCTTGTACCAAAGCCAGAGGGTCGATCTTGACAGGTCCACCCTTCCACTGCTTCACATTTGCACAGTCTGGATGTCTTTGTAACTGGCATTTTAATTGATGTGTGTTGAAAAATTTTAAAGCCTGTGATCCTCTGTTGAGAGAAAAGCTCAAGATAATTTGTGAAAAAAAAGTTAGTCTATTATTTTCACATTTAATATACATTAATTCAAATAAACGCAAGTTAATACAAACTGCTAAGACACACTAGTACTAATCATTTACTTACCAGTTCTGTAAATGTTAAAGCCAATAATTCAAGTTATTTAGAAAAAAATTTTATACATAAGAAATAAAAGACGGATGTGTATGCGAGCATATGCAAACCTTAAGTCAACATTTGACCTCTGTCCCATCATAAATCCATGTGAGCAGAAATACTTCACCCATGAATATTTAATTATTTTTCTGGAACAAAAATCCCTCAACTATTTAAGCACATTCACTTCTGCAATATTTTGCCCATTTCTACTGAATTACATTTTTAAAAAAGCAAAAAAAAAACAAAAACAAAAACAAAAAAAAACCCCAATTTTATTTCAAAGATTTCAGCTACAAAATTACTTTAAAAACTAATCTTTAAAATGTACTTTGCTATAACAGTTTTGAATGAAGTAGTTTAATAGCTACAGCAGCTGAAACCTGGTCATGATGTTTAATTGCTCATTTCAGAAAAGCTCTGGCAGGAGTCGGATACAAACTTAAACTGTGATTATCTGTATGATTCCACAAAGCAAGCTTGTCCAACCTGCGGCCCACAGGCTGTATGCAGCCCAGACTGCTTTCAATACAGGCCAACACAAATTTCTAAACTTTCTTAAAACACGAGCGTTTTTGCTTTATTAAGCTCATCAACTAACTTTAGTGTTGGTGTATTTAATGTGGCCCAAGACAATTCATCTTCCAATATGGCCCAGGGAAGCCAAAAGATTGGACCCTCCTGCACATAAAGCATACAAATAGGGATGTGGAGAAGAATATTCCATTTTATGAATATATATATATGCAAACATATTCTATATAAATTTGGACAAAAATAAAAAGCTTCATGATTTTCTCAAGCACAGGTGAAAATGCCCCCTTATTTCATGAACTCCTCCAGGAAAGCATAATGATTGAAACTGAGTAACACACGCCACATTAACTTTCAAAGTCGAAAAGAAACCCTAGTCCATGATGTGATTGCCTTATCACTCAACAATGCTTATTGTTCTTAATTCAATCAAAATTTTAAAAATGTTTTTAAAACATCAAAATGTGGATTTAAAAACCAAACTGGGCTGACTCTGGTGGCTCAGGCCTGTAATCCCAGCACTTTGGGAGGTCAAGGCAGGAGGATCACTTGGACCCAAGACCAGCCTGGGCAACAAAGTGAGACCTCGTTTCTACAAAAAATAAAAAAATCAGTGGAACATGGTGGCACATGCCTGTGGCCCCAGCTACATGGGAGGCTGAGGCAGAAAGATCTCTTCAGCCCAGGAGGGCAAGGCTGCAGTGAGCCATGTTCACACTAGTGTACTCTGGCTTGGGCAACAGAGTAAGACTCTGTCATAAATAAACAAACAAACAAATACCAAATTTCCTATTTTCTAGGCTTCCAGTCAAAATATTCCATGCAACTTGTAACATTCCACAACATAGAACAATTCTTTCCTGTAGCACCTCAAGAGTCCTTAAAACTACATTAAAAATATATATATTTATTAAACTAGTAAAACTTCAAATGTTTGAACCCATCAAAATACAAAGTTTTAACCACTTATATTACATACAAATCATACTGTTCAAAATGTAAACGTTATTCACATCCACAAAAAATGTTTTATGCCTATTGAAGTTAAACAAAGTTCTTAAAGAAATTTTGTATGTTGAAGTGTATCAATTTAAGGAAAACTAAGTCTATTACAAGTTACGAATACAATCACTGGATTATATATTTATAAAGTATCCTGTTTAAGGCACATGGTATAATTTTAAAGACAAAAAAGCATTTGATTCAATCTTCAGAGTACTTTATTTCTTTCATCGTTACAGCTGAATGTTTTCTGGGCTGATCAAGACTTTACCAGATCTCTTGCCATCTTACCTCAGTGAAACTAAGTACCAAATTCCAGTGGCAAGGGTATAGCCAGGCAATGGTCCTTACCTGCCTCCTGTCCCATTTCCACTAGGGAAATCATGTACTTTGACTGGAAACTGTTCCATCTGGCTGAGGCAGTTGTTCATCTTGTGAACTAATGCCAACAAAGGTGCATTACCCACTGGTTCCACTCTTCCAATGGGCTCTTCTCCAGGAAGCTAAAGTTATAAATAAACAAACAGGTTAAACAAGGCCTTTTCAAAACAAAACTCTCCTCAAAGAGAAGATTTAATAAGCAGCTTTATAAAAAAGAGTAATTTGTCTATTCATCTTTATCTTTTATTGCAGATTTGGTTTGAACGACATTACCACATCAATTATTTCAATAAAGACAATCGTTTTGTACAGTCCACAATCCTGTATTCACAATCCCTACATCCAAAGGCTCTGAAAACAGAAGTCACTTGGTGGCAAAATCTGATCCAAACAGACATAAGGCTATTTACAGTCTTTATTTATCATTTATCTGATTTTAGTAAGAATATTCATGTTATGCTATAAAAATATTTAATGCATATGATATAGAGTGCTATTCAGAAACTGCTGGAAATTTTAATGTACTATACACTGTAGGACCCTTGAAACCCACCCATCTCCAGGGGTTTCAGATAAGAGATTGCACATAATCTTAAGTATGGTGTAAAACTATACATAATACTGTCACGCTTCCAACGAATCAACAATAAATATTAACTCTGCTTTAGGTGGACCCACAAGTTAAAATACAAGCAATGCTCAAATGCCTCTGAACACAGCAAGCGCATGGTGAAATAATGTTAACATATAGGAGAGCTATCCTAAGCACTATTACGTAGATAATCCAGAGGGAAACGGCCCAAGTGATGCCTTCTCCTTAAGCCACTGTAAAACAAGGAGAATGCTGTCAACAGTATCCAAAGATTACCCTCTTGCTCTGGCCCACTTAAGAGTGAAGGAAGGGGAGCCACTCTGTGGCTCCTGGCTTTGTAATCCACATTATAAACGGTGACATAAATGGTCATCAAGCACCCTTGATGGAAACTGTTACAACTGTATTTTATGTACAAAACAGGAAAATATATCTCCTCTATCTTATTATAGACGTCTATTTCCCTAAAAGGAACTAATACAAACTTTAATACATTTAAAAACAAATATTGCAAGTAAAATACATTCACAGGTGAGAGACTACTATTAATTGTTCATCTTGCAAGCAAAAAAGACTCAAGATACTTCAACCATAGAAATAGTGACATGAGCTTTGTGAAATCCCCATTTCATTGTTTTACTATTTACTTTGATATATAGAAGTTGAAAGATTCCAACTGCATAAAAACCTAGAAGTTTTCCCTCAATGTCTTGACCCAGACCTGCTGGAAATTATTACTGAGATTAAAATATATGCATTAGTGAATACTGGTTCTTATAAGACATACAGGCATTATTAGATAACTTACTGGAGAAGAAAAAAATACATGAAGAAATCTCTTTAATCTGATTTCTCTGCTCACAGCATCCTTTTCACTTTTAGATGTCAAATAAAGCAACAGCTGCTTCACAAATCCACTATGTTGGATTTCAAATGATGAAACATCTGACTCTGAGACTATGCTACGGATTTCTACAAGGCACTCAGCTCCACCATCCACCTGAAAGAGTTAGGAAAAGTATTTCTATATTGATTTAAGCAGTACTTAAATACACGACTCACATATCCTCAAAAGGAACTGAATATATTCTCAACGCCCTTAAAAAAAAAAAGGAGTGGTACAGTCTTAGTAAATCCTTGGAAATTATGATTTTAAACACACACACACACACACACACACACACACACAATATTTCATGAGGAAAACGAGGAATCCATAATAACATAAGAAGAAAATCTTCGCATTCAACCAATGTAGTTTTCTTTAAAAAAGTATTTCTAAAGGATGAGAACACAAAACTGAAGAATAAGGGGCTGTAACACCAGAATGAAAAGAGGAATCAAGAATACAAGGTGTGGCTTTAAATTAATACATTTAAGGTCTCAGCAAAATGAACAATGTCTTGGAAAACATACGACCAAAACTGCTCAAGGTACATCAAAAACATCAAAACCAACAACAACAACAAAAAAAAACAAAACTGACAACCAGATGAAACATAAAACACTTATTAGTAAACCTCTAGCCTCTCCTGCCACTCTTGAGACTCCATGTGGAGAGAGGGTCTAAGGAAGGCCTATCATCTATACCTATAGTTGAGGATGACTTAGAAAACAGATGTGCTTATGGGGACATTTCTGAAGTTTCTTCATTTGTCAAGAATTATGAGATGTGAAGGAAAGAAAGTCAAAGATGAGGTTTCTAGTACATTTAATATAGACTGATGAATCCTGATAGTATAAGTAAAAGAAATGCCAGCACCAAGGGTGTATATAAGGTAAGAGTCGATGTAGGATAGCTAAATCCACAGGAAGCTAGAGAGTCATGAAGGAAAAGAGTAGCAGGAGATGCTGGGAAGAGACTGAAATAGAGCAGCAAAATGCACTGGCCACAGCACCTGGAGGTTGAGTTGTTCGGTTGCAGCACAAAGTCTCTGAAGGACATTCAAGGCAGGGTTGCTTCCATCCATATTCTCAGAACTGAAATAACGTTCGACAAATTTATGTGCCTGCTCCTTAATCCAACCTTTAATTTTTTCTCTACAAGAAACAAAAAGGAGATATTAAAGTCCCAGTGTATGTAGAAAGGATGTAACTTCTGATCAAGGCAAATAGCTGCTACACTTAAAATCCTTTCTGGTCTATGCTTAGAGATTAATAAATTCAGAATCCACAACCAAATTAACTTTCACTTTGAAAATGGGCTATGATGGAGAACTGTTTAAAAACTTAAAATACACTGCAGGTTATTACATGAATTGTAAACAAAGTGCACTAATTTTTTGGAACCCTGCAACCTAACACTTTCCTAAGTGTTCCCTTTATTTTCTAAAGTACACACATAAGTGCATTATCCTTGCGTTTCCTGGAGAGCTGAAGTCAAGATTTACAGACCAGAAACACACACCTATTAAGGATGTAATAAGCTATGGCAAACAAGACCCAGCTGCTTAAATTACAAATGCTGATAGCTTCAGCAATTCATTCACTTAATTATTTTTAAACACTGAAATTCAGATAAACAACCAACAAAACCAAAGACAGCATGTTTATTTTCTCAATGACAATTGGTCTTTTAAAATTTACCTGCAGAGGGAAGTAATCATGTTGGTATGCTACATGCAGAACCCAAAAATAAAACAAGTCCCAAAGCCTTTAAAAAAAAAAAAAAAAAAGGCTCTCCCCTAAAATCTTTAAGTTCCATTGTACTGGGTAGAGAAATTTTATCATAAATGATGTGAAGAGTGTGGACAGAAAATGTCAGCTTTTCCTTGTCTGGAACAAAACTGAGAAAGAGGTTCCCCAAGGAACACAACTTCGTTTTGAACATATGAGACTTTCAGTTAGGTATGCTGGAAGGAGTTTCAAAGCACATGACTATAACTTAGGACAAAGCCAGATGCAGGGTTCATAAACTGAGAACCTACCTCATTCTTGAACTATGCTTCTAAGAACAAATTAAAGTGTTGTGTCTATGTATCATCTCCATACAATAAATGTAGTGGCTGAAATAATGTTAAGTTTTTCTAATATGGGAATAGAAGCAACATAAAATTCCCCCCCCCCCCACTTCACCTATTATTGGAGATGGTATCCTTTGAGGCAGCCCTGGCAAGGCCACTACCTCCTGCAGTCCGTGCTGGCTCAATGTTGTTGCTATTGGACTGTGCACTTAACCTTCCCCATGTTTTTGGATTCAAGCTTGCCAGGAAAGAAGATTTAGGTGACTGAGTAGTGGTGGGGCTTTTAGCTATGAAAAGAAAAAAGAACTACAGTTAAGCCATTTTAGTTTAAGTCATGAAAAACAACTGATTTTTAAGATTCACAGTCTTAACAGATTAATAAACTAAAAGAACTAAAAACACTTAGTCCTCAGGAAACTTAGGCATACTTCAAGAGCCACTGGCAGTTTTAATGAAGTAAACATTTCTGCACCTGCTACCACCCTCCCCTTTACCTCCCCATAGTTTTATCAAAGGGGTTACCTTGATTGTCTACTTTGTCATCATCTCTTGGAGGTGAGTACTTTGGCCTTCTTGGCCCTCGTTTTGGCAGTCGTTTTCTCTTTAGAACATCACTTAATCGACTATCACCATGGGAAAATATGAGATAAGTTTAGTAATTACCACTGTTTTGTATCTTTACTCACCAAAAAAGCAAGCTAAAATGGCAGAAACAGTGAGTTATAAAATACTGTCATAACAAGGTATGTTCTTGTTTAGTGATTATTTAATGCCAATTCTGTGCCAGTCACGTTCTAGAGGTGTGCAGACACAGGAAATGATTATTCAGAAAATAACTAGCTGTTTAACTATACTCAACTATGAAACGTAAAGCCAAATCAGACAACTGATCAATTTTCTATGTTGTTCTACTTTAAATAGTAGTATGTAAGTATATAAAACAAATATGCAACACAAAGGAGCAGAATAAAAATAAATGGGTAGTCACCAACCTGAAAAAGAATGTTAAATCTGCATACCATACTTTTTCCCCTAACCAAAATGGCCACGAGTAACACATACGTAACACTTAGTGTTCATGTTGTCAAAATACTCCTCTGCCTCTAATATACTACCGAAAGTAATTTCACAGTGTGACAATGGCAATAACATACTAAATAAATGTATTTATAAACATTTTAGTAGGGTTTTTAAAACCTATATACAAATCTAGTGAGTAGTGCGAGTAATTTATTCTGAATTAGAATCATTTAAACACCTGTAGCCTGTTCTAACGACACGAGAAATAGTTTGTAACAGCAATAAATTTTTAGATTAACAAAGCTAAATAAGATGAAAAGGCTGAAAAATGTGGTTTAGTTGGTCTGTGGCCCAAATAAAACTGGAAAAATCTGAAAAAAAAAAAAAAAAAAAAAAAAAACTGGAACGTTTCCAACACCTGACATTTCTATGGAATATACTTAATAATGTGCTCGAATATGCTTGACAATCAGGAAAAATGAACTTTCAAAGGATGAAAAATGTAATTAATTTCCATTTAAAAAATATGAATTTTTCATTTGCAACCATGCTATAATATGGAACCACTTAAAACTATTTAAAACCATGTAAAAATATTTTAAGAAAAAAGTTATTTTCTCTTTCTTTGGCATAATCAACTGTTAGACTCTATAATCAATTCCAACTCCTTAAATTAAAATGGCTTGGAAACACTGCATTTGAGCTGGGCATGCTAGCACATGCCTGTAGTCCCAGTTACTTCAGAGGCCAAGGTGGGGAGGCTCATTTGAGCCCAGGAGTTCGACGTTAAGTCTGAGAAACAGAGCAAGACCCCGAGTCATGTCTCTTTAAAAAAAAGGGGGAAAGTGAAAAATTTTTAAAGGGAAAGAAATATTCCAATTGTCTGAACTGTATCATCCCCTGTAATTTACTGAGTATCTATGATGTCTCAGGCACCATGCCTACATTATAGTAAAAACCTGCAATAACTTATGTTACTGCAGCAGCTAGTGGGTAGGAATGGGGCTGGGAAGGAAGTAAAGGAGAGAGCAAGGCTGGAAAGGAAAATGGCAGCCAAAAGCTTATAGTAAAACAAGCTACTTCCTGTAGAATCAGGGAAGTACAAGAGTCCCCAGAACTCTCCAAGTCCAATCTCCTCAGACTGGTCAAATAACATGGGTACCAGTTAAACTCAGCAGTTTCCTAAAATAATACCCACTGTGCCAGAAGTTCAGCCTGCCACAAGTCTTGAAACTGCCAACATTCATATTTAAGCTAGACTAGAAAACTGCCACCAGGTGGCACCAATTCCCCTCATCCCCTCTCCTACCTGAGTTGGCTGTCTGCACAGGACAATGCTACCCTGCAGATTATAAGACTATATGTTTGGATCCCACTTATTATTACTATATTTTAGAATGATCTACTTTTCAGCTTAAAAGAAGCCAAAAGGAGTACTGCAGTGAATACATTCTCAATTTCAGAACTGAATTTGGTTCATCATGTACCACTCATCCAGTAATATTAAGCTTCTAATAGAAGAAAATAAAAACACTTTTAGAGTGTGGTTTGTTTCTAACACAACAAAACGGAAACCAATAGAAGGTTTGGAAACATTCTTAGTAGCATGGTATAACGAAGGTTAAAAGCTGATAAATAAATCGGAGTAGAGAATTTAAGAACTCCCATTTTCCCTTATTAAAAGCAAAGTATTTACTCCCAGTTGCCAATTAAAGATAAACTGGAAATCAGTATTTTTTGGCCTTTATTCTAAGACTTCTAATTTTCAGTATTTTTAACTGTATCAATATCTGGATGTCTCTAAGGTCGTATGTATGCAGCAGCACAAAAAAGTCCCAAGATTATGAAATCAGAAACCAGAATTCAAATCCCACGTTAGATCCTACAAGTAACATAAGTGTTGTAACACTGTGCAAGTCACAAATGCCTCTGACCTTTAGTTTCCTTGTATGTCAATGGGAATAAAACTAATCTCTTACAGTTCCTAAACACAGTCCAATATAGGTTTCCAATAAATCTTTTCTTCCCATTCTCATTAACAAAACACAGATGGAAAAATACTATATATATATATATATATATACACACACACACACATATGCTAATATGTTACCATTTTACTCCCTATATGATTCTTAGGTACCAAAAAAAGCACTAACAGCAAAGAAATAAAAAACACAACACAATTCTTACTTACCCTTGAGGGCTGAGATCTAAAGAATCATCTCTGCTGTGCTGCAAGCTGGGTGATCCCAAGTCAGCTGCAGCGTGAGTGGCAGCTGTGGCCGTCCCACTGCTGACTGAAGTTGTGGATCCCAAGGATCCTGACCCATTCGTACATGCCTTTGGTGGACTTGTCAACAAAGACTCAGATTCTGCTAAGTGTTTTACTTGATGCATTACACCTTATAACAGAGATGAAAGGGAGTCAGTTGTAATCAGGAATAGAACCTTCTCCCCACCACTACAAAATCCCTAAATACCAACACTGACATAATACACAAAAAGACTAAAACATAACTGGCAAATAGGTAAAAGAAATTAGAAGCCAGAGTTTTCAACTTGACTTCAATCAGAAAAAAGTATAAAAACTAAAGGTTAAAGAAAAATACTTATATTGAATGTCTTCTAATCTTCAAAACCAGATTATATAAAACTTAATAGGGTCATAAAGTCCTACTCAGAGTTCAAAATACTCATTATAAAAACAATAATCAATTACAGAAATACAGTGCACACCCTGTGGTGTGATAGCCAGAAGGGATGAAAAAGACCTAGAATTATCAGTTAACTTCCAGTGCTACAAAAAGACAAGATCACATTAACACTGTCACCAAAAAAAAGAAAACAGCTATTGAAGGGTGGGAACTATCACATCCTTGAAGGTGTGTAAAGAGAGCTAAACATTAACTTGTGAGGCAGGGGTTCCTATATGTCCTGGAATCATAAGAGAGTATGTATGAAGGAGCGTGACTAAGAACTATCAAAATGTATACCAATGTGTGTGTCTGATTATCAGCTAGTATAAACTATATGCAAATATGTGGATAAATTTAATGTGAGTGAATGAGCACACATTCACAGTTTTCTGGGGAAGAGTCCACGACTTCTATCATTCTATCAGACTCTTATTAAAAAACAAACTGTAATCCCATGCTGAGGCAGTAGGATTGCTTGAGGCAAGGAAGTTGACATCAGCCCAGATGTGCGCTAATTTTTGTATTTTTAGTAAAGTCGGAGTTCACCATGTTGGCCAGGCTGGTATCCAACCCCTGACGTCAAGTGATCCACCTGCCTGGGCCTCCCAAAGTGCTGGGATTATAGGCGTGAGCCACCACGCCCAGCATAAAAGACACATTCTATGTACTCCGAGCTGTAAGCTAACAGGGCTTTAAATGTCATTTTTAAATTGAAAAGCTATCAGTTTTTGTTCAACAGATTAAAACTTTATTTCTATTGAAGTACTATCTAGACTAAATGACTATTAATTTATATGACATTACCTTCTCTTCTGAAGTAAACACTAAAAATATCAGGTAACTTCTGCATTAAGATTTCTGCCATCTGAAGTGCTCCCACTACTATCTTCAGGTCTTGGCTTGACAGCATGGAAGCAATGTGACTAAAAAAAGAAAGCATTTGTATATAAAACTCTGCCTGAATTTGATGATTATTTTTGGCCATACTACTTTAAATTGAGAGCAAAGCATTTTCATTGTGAAACCATTCTATTAACATAAACATTTTTCTTAACTGTTCAACTTTTATATTTTATAAAAGCTGTATGTGAATATGAATAGACATTAGACAAAAAAGAGCTCAAGATACTCCAAACAAACTTTTGTGCATATTTTTTCTATTATTACTTTAGAGGTTTCTGAAATTACTTGCAGAGATTTGAATTTGTAAAATGTTTCTACTATTTTCATTAACACACCTTGAAACAGCATGATTTTTCAGAACATCCTTCAGAAGTTCAGCATCCGCAAAATAAATTATCCTAAGAATTGCTCTAAGGCACTTATGTCTGACCGCAGGTCCTGCTGAGGAACTATACACTTCATAAAGAACACCAAATAATGTCTTAATAAAAGACTTAGCCAGTTCTGGATCCTCTTTCATAAGCTGTGCTCGAGCATCATCCTTCTTTGACTCTGAATATCCACCTATTACATTAAAAAAAAAAAAAAATGCAATCCTGAAGTGACAGACTTCAGAAACACAATAAACAATATAAAATACTCAAGTCAATGTAATTCTTGAAATGCTATGAAAACTTTTTCATTATAAAACACATGAACTTCTTTGATATGATCAACTAGGATTTACAAAGATGCTAAAGGCAACATTAAGACAGACAAAATTCAGCTCTCTAGAAAACCAGTGACCCATTCGGACCAGCTGAAAGTAACAATTCATCACCACACTGTACCTCTTTATTTTACTGATATATATTCAATGAAACAATAGGGAAATCCAGTCCTAACCAACTAAACCAGTGGTAAGAAACAAGAGTTCTAGAAATACACGGTATTTCACTAAAAGCTTTGTAAAATGGATAAAAAAGGTAATTCTGCCACTTTGCTTAGTGACATAAAGTGTGAGGAAAAGATAACTGATAAATAATAAGTTATACACAAGGGGTTGACAAAGTACGGTCTGTAAGCCGAATCCAGTCCACCACCAGTTTTTGTAAATATAATTTTATTAGAACGCAGCCATGTACATTTGTTTACATATTGTATATGGCTAATTGAAGGCTACAATGGCAGTGGTGGTGAGTATAGACTATATAACCTGCAGCACTTATATTATTCGCTCTCTGGCCCTTTTCTTTTTCTTATTTAATTAATTTATTGAGACGGAGTCCCACTCTGTCGCCCAGGATGGAGTGCAGTGGCGGGATCTCAGCTCACTGCAAGCTCCGCCTCCCGGGTTCACACCATTCCTCTGCCTCAGCCTCCCAAGTAGCTGGGATTACAGGTGCGCACTCCTACACCCGGCTAATTTTTGTATTTTTAGTAAAGTCGGAGTTCACCATGTTGGCCAGGCTGCTAATATGTTACCATTTTACTCCCTATATGATTCTTAGGTACCAAAAAAAGCGCCTCCCAAAGTGCTGGGATTACAGGCGTGAGCCACCAAGCCCAGCACTATCTTGCCCTTTTCAAAAAAAAAAAAAAAAAAAAACACATTTGTGGACCACTGTTCTCTAAACTACAGCTGCAAAAGCAATAAACTAAATCCCTGAGGGGAGAGAGAAATGTCAGAAACCTGGCTTTGTTTTTTTTTTAAATCACGATTATCTGTCCTTAATTAGTTCAGATAATTTTGGCAGGAAGGTATAAAATACAAGGTTGGAAAGAACTAGTCAATGGACCTAAAGGTATAATAGTAGTAACAGGATCAGATAAAAATCTGCATGAGCGAATTCTAACTCGAGTCTCAGGACATCAGGTAAGTAGACAAATTGTGGAAAAGATACCAGTTAATACTGGCTCACTCATCCATTACTGCACATGATTTAAGAAATCCAAAACCAAATTATTGTTATGCAATTGACTTAAGCTTAAAAAGATACTTAATGAGCCAATTATTATTTATTATGCAAACACAAAATACTGCACAATAGTATAGTGCTATTTTAACTCAGAATGTACTTACTAGTGTTACTATTGGCTAAGGGGTTAGGTTTTCTCTGAATGGCACGTGCTGTTCCCGTGTCCTCATTGATTTGCTGCATAGAATTAAAATCAATAGTATAAACTCGTCCCAGAGTGGACAAGCTTATCTCATCCTCACCGACCTGATGGGCTGCCTGAGAGCAAAGAGAGAGAAACTTTGAATATAAACATTGAGAAATCTATTACCTTAAGACACAGTGGGGACCCTCCAAATATGCTATCTTACATATTTATTTCATCAGGCCTTAGATGGTGAAGTTAACAGAAGATGGAAAATTTAATAGTGTAGATATGACAAAACTCATTCATTCACCAAATCATTTTTAGTTAGACATAGGTTACATGCCTCAAGCCTTATCAGGGACCCTTAGACAAAATGCAGATAAAATCTTGATGAAAGATCCACCTATGTAGCATCACTGACACAAAGAAGACACCATTTGTATTAAGAATGCTTTTGAGACATTGCTTATAAAAAAATCAGTTATCCATAAATCTTGGTATTCTTAGATTAAAAATGTTATTTACACGATGAATTCTTAGCAACCTACCAAAATCCTCCCTTAAACAAAATGATCCTATAAAATTGTCCTCATGAAACAAAGATAACTTAAAGATTGAAAGGGACACAACTGAAACAGATTCATTGCCAAGGTTGCGTGTGGTATACAGAACATATTTGAGACAGTTCAATGAACACGAGTTTGATTTAAAGAGACTCCAGAAGTGACAAAATATTCTCATTACAGAATCCAATCTATGGAACTCCTAGGCTGAATGGAAGACAAGATTCTCAGCACATATGAGAGAGTAAGCTAATAGTGAAGGTGATCAGGAAGCTAATAGTGAAGGTGATCAGGAAAATGCTAAAAAGAAGATGACTTAGAGTTAGAGACCAGGACCGCTATTAGCAGGATTGGCCTGCTTATAGATTGCTTATATATAACGCTGCACAAAACACCAGACAAAGTCAATTTTCTCATAAAAGTTGGCTCTGAAACTGGATTTATTTTTAAAACTCTTGATTTTATGATGTAAGTCATTGGTTTAAACTTTTTTCTAAAATTCATTTTTAGAAACGAACTAGAAGGCACCTTTAAAGAAGACTGTCTATTCAAAATGTGTGATGTTCTAAAAAAAATTCAAACATCAAAGGTTGAAATTAGAAAAGACATAAATTCTTACAGGTGTCTCATGTATTGAAAATAGTAAATTATGCATGGCATCACAAATAACACAGTGACCAACACCTCCTAGGCTGGAGCAAATATTATGCTAATTTAGTTTTAAAAAATATTTCAGTGCAAACAATATATAAGAAAGTAAAAATCAAAATCACATAAAACTGTCACACAAAATCACTGTCAACATTTTGGTATATTCCTCCCCTTTGTATTATTCATATTTTCACTTATTTTGCTGAATTCCAAAAAGATTCACATAATATTGTATACTGTGTTTTTCATTCATATTTGATTTTATATCATTAAAATCTGTCCCAATAATATCTGGATAACATACAAGCCTATGTGTATCACAATTTACTTAATTATTTACCCAGAACTAGCTATTTCATTTGTTTCCACGTTTTTGCTCTTAAAAAATATTGAGAGGGAACTATTTGTATGTAAATCTTTGCTCATGGGACATTGCTTTCTGATAGTAGATAGATACGTTTTAGAACCTACAGCTTAAGTCTTCCAATGTTTCCTTTCAGAAAAGAGGAAACTATGGAACAACAAACTTAAATTACTTGCTCCAAGTCAATCAGGTAGTTAGCAGCAGAAGCAGGACTAGAACATGATGTTTTCTGACCTGAACAGAAATGAGGACCTTGTTCTCAGGAGACAAAATGAGAGAATCTTGAGTTAATTCAAAATCAAGCACATTCAAGTACACATATCCACCTCCCCACTCCATCCCTACACCCACTCTCCAACAAAATAGACATATTTAAACGGTACGATGAAACTACTACCTCAATGATCCGGCTGTCAATCCTGTTATATGGATGCCAGAGGCCCCGATCGTCACGCCACTGCCATATCGCACCATCTGTGTTCTGTGCATTTCCCTTCTTCAACATGGTATCGACTGCAAAAATGCCTTCTTTTGGTAAACATGGCATAAGTTCACTGAAAACAAAAAGTACAATAATTTTAGTAACTTTATGAAATATCAGTAAACGTTAGGTCTATAAAGAAAAATAATCTCACACAAACTACAAGTTATAGTTAGCCCCATCTTTTTTTTTTGGAGACAGAGTCTCACTCTGTCGCCCAGGCTGGAGGGCGGTAGCACGATCTCGGTTCACTGCAACCTCCGCCTCCCGGGTTCAAGCAATTCTCCTGCCTTGGCCTCCCAAGCAGCTGGGATTACAGGTGCTCGCCACTACGCCCAGCTAATTTTTTGTATTTTTATTAGAGACGGGTTTTCATCATGTTGGCCAGGCTGATCTCGAACTCCTGACCTCGTGATTCATCCGCCTCAGCCTCCTAAAGTGATATTTAGCCCAATCTTTACCAAATCAGAGATGTCAGTTCATACAGTTCTTGAGGACTTCGTGGAACAAGATCAATCTGTTCCTGACAACTTCCATTGGAGGCACCACACAGGAGAAAGTGAAGCGTTTCTGCAATGTCTGTAAAAACCAACAACAAAAAACAAAAGCCTATTAAACTAGTTATAGTACCTCATTCAAGGGCAAACATTACCCAAGGGGGGAAAATAATCAGAATTATTTTCTTACAAAGCAACATAATGCAGAAATTAATGTAAAAAATGCAAAAGTGCTGTAATAAAGACCTAAAAAGAAATTCGTGTAGATTTTAACAATCTCTTTCTGGAGACTTCATTCTTTAGTTCAAACCCAGCTGGGTGCCTCATCACAATTCCTTCTTAACCCTAAGACTTCAGGAACCCTTTATTTCTTTCCTTGAGAAGCACAGTATTTTGCACAAAAATGCATTCAACATACCACAAATCAAATATATTCATGTATTTGTCTTCAATTCAAATACACTGAAAATGTGTGGCCTATAGTATAAAATGTAACCATTAAAAACTGTATTGTGATCAAACTGTAACTTGATACAAGGATCAGGGAGGCATTCTCTACTGTAAGTTTCCACTGCCAGAAGACAGCATTTTCTGGAGGACTCTGCAGTGATAACCAACCACTCAGATGTGCTGACACTGTGAGTGGAAGGAACTCTCAGTCTCTACAGTTTAGTCAGTCTAAACCTAAGGAAAGCTGAAACCTAAAGACACAGCGGGGTCTTTGCTGATTGTGTGTGTGTTCCTGTAAATATTATACATATGCAAAATATACATAGACATTTTATTAGAATGTTTTGCCAATAATCAGTAAGTTCTATAATCAAGAAAAATATTCATTAATGATTTGGGCAGAGAGATGTGGATAGTGAATTGCCTGCCACACAGAATTTCACAATTAGTGGTTAAGATTTTTTTTTTAATTGCAGTTTTGCAACTTTATAGACAAGTTTGAATACATGGTATGCTGCATTATAAGGATTTTATTTTTTTAGAAGTCAAGGGATGACAACAAAATAGAGACAAATAGAAGAGGTCCACATTTCCTTTTACAGGGTTATTACAGTAAGCAACTATGGTGACCTCCATATGACAAACATGTGGTAAACTGCCTGGAGCATGCAAAAGAGGTGAAAATACACTAAAAGAAAAAAAAAAGTTAAACAAAAGGCAGGCAGCAATTTTCCAAATTAGTATTTAGGGATGTGCTGTAACAAAACGTACATTAACAAGAAATAATCTCTCTTACTGATTCGGAAAATGTTGGGATAAACAAGGTTCAAAGAACTCCTAGGGACTTTAGTAAGTAAAATGAATTGTGGATACTCAAGAAGGAGTTGAACCTTTCCCAATCTTATTTAGGAAAAGAGCACTTTCTTCAGGACCACTCAAAATAGGGTTGTCTGGAATACCAAGCTTGGAAAAGACTCTATGCTTTTATGGAGAATCTTTCCAACTAGCCACCTCAACAACATTATTTTTCTACAAAGTTATGTGCCAATGTGTTAATTCACAAGAAGAGCGACTAAATATAAAACTGAGCTTCCCTAAAACGAAAATATTATACTGCTAAATATACTGTCTCAGACAGTATGGGACCACTCAGACAGAGTGGGACCAAAGACGATTTTATCAGTTAATATCATCACTGACTCCCGGGGTAACATCCATAGAGATTAGAATTACGGCTATGAAATTATGCACAATTAAAGGTATTCTACACAAAAGTGATGAATACTCTTCTAGAACCAATCATAACAGCCAGGTGTGATAGCTCATGCCTATAATCGTAGTACTTTGGGAGGCCAAGGCGGGAGGAAGGCTTGAGCCCAGGACTTCAAGAACACCCTAGGCAATACAGTAAGACCTTGTCTCACAAAAAGTTAAAAACAAAAAAAAATTACAATGTATAGATGTTGTTTGGTGCCCCACTATTCTCTGACATCAACTTGTTAAGTCTAAGGATTGAGAGAGGAACGGTCAACTACAAGAACAGTGCAATACAATTTTATTTCCTATACGCTGTGTAAAGGTTTAGAAATACCTAAATTTGAAAGGTCTACATTTGAAAAGGTTTAGAAATAACAAATTAGCAAACATCAGAGGTATTCATCATTATAAATACATTCCTACTTTCTGAGGGAAGAAAGCATTCTGGAATCAGAAAAACTGCTAGAAAATCTAACATGGGCAGAAAAAGCAACCTATATAAGCTGAAGACAGCTGGTTATTGGTTAACATAAAACTCAGAATTCTCCTAATCAAGGATGGTTACATGACAAACATTGAATAGAAATTAATGACTTTGTATTGTTAGCCCTAGAAACACCAAGGGCAAACGTTTAATTTATACTTTAAAAGGAGTATGTTAGAAACATTAACATACCGTCCCAACACAAATTTATTACATATTAACACTTCTCTTTACTATCCAGTGCCTATGATATTAGTAATCTCTTCCATTTGCTTGGCTTATGTTGACTTTACATATTAACGAAGAACCAACTTTTCCTGCTTAAAGTAGAACAGTAAAATTGCACTTACTTTGTTTCATAAGTTGAACAGCTAAAGTTGGACAGTTGGAACACATCAGAGAAAACATGCGAACCACCATTATAAACATCCCAGAACTTAAAATGGGTGGAGTCACTACCAACAGCTGTTGAACATTTGTAAGCAGATCTTTGGAAGCAACCTGCTGGAGTAAATTCTTCACAAACACAAGAATAAAGGAATTATTACATCAAGATTCAGCAATTCAACCACCTCATAAAAATACTACCAAAGACTAAACACTTACCTCCTCATGCTGGAAGTTGTCCACTAGGCGTGCAAAACAAAGGCAAGTGCTTTCTACTGACTTTTTATCCTATTTTTTAAATAAAGGAAAATAAAATTTATTAGCATGAAGCATTTTCACTGTCATATATCACTATTTCATCTTCTTCCTAATCCCAGATTCTTGAAGGCAAGCTCAATTAGTAAACGATGGCTTTGAAAATGCAAATGGGCCTAAGCAAGGTAGTCAGTAACGTCACAATTTCAAAACAAAGAGGAAACAAACCAACCTCTCCCCTGTATAAAGGCCACTACTAGAGAAAATCAAATACACAGAAAAGGAAGAACTATTATGCTTACGCAATCTCAATACCTAAACAAATGTTATACCTAAAGAAATATATAAACATCCTACTTTCCTTTAAAAGCATTACAAGTAGAAATGTTTAAGTGGGTACACACTAAAAAGTTAGAAAAAGGAAAGTTGCGAGAACCAGACATTGTTTCTTGACAATGTTACAAATAGGGCATAGACTTGCAATATTCACTATTAAAAACAAGTAATTCACTATTAAAAAGTTACACCACAAAAACAAATTGCCATATTTGTCATAAAAACAGGGTGGCATCATTGACAAAACGTTTGAAATAATTGTCAAAAAGAAGGGAAAGACTGTTTCACTGGCTAGACTAATGTTTTGATAGACCTTGATTTTTCCTAACTTATAATTTGACTTTTCATATGTAAAAATTAGACTTGTTTCTACAAAAATGAGAATAATTCAGATATTATAAAGGCCTATAGCCTAAACCTTCACTGACAGTACATAAATCTAGAAAGAGTGCTAGAAATAGTGACTATTTAACTTCTCCAAATCTTTTGTCTTATTTCTAAAGAACATCATATGGAACTGATTATCACATACCAGAGCACACACTTTTAGACTACAGAAAAGATTATCTCAACTATGTTTTTATTTATTATTATTATTTTGAGACAGAGTTTCACTCTTGTTACCCAGGCTGGAGTGCAATGGCACGATCTCAGCTCACTGCAAACCTCCACCTCCCGAGTTCAAGCGATTCTCCTGCCTCAGCCTCCCGAGTAGCTGGGATGCATCACCACGCCCGGCTAATCTTTTATTTTTAGTAGAGATGGGGTTTCACCGTGTTGGTCATGCTGGTCTCTAACTCCTGACCTCAGGTGATCCACCCGCCTCGGCCTCCCAAAATGCTGGGATTACAGGTGCAAGTCATTGTGCCCCCAGCCAACTATGTTTTTAAAAATAAACATATAAACACATTTTTAAAAAATGAGTAACACTGCTTTGCCTTGATCATCATAGAAGCAAAAGACTCTAGGGTGATTAAATGATCACTACTATTTTATCTTACATAAATCCCTTATTTGGTCAGGCGCGGTGGCTTACGCCTGTAATCCCAGCATTTTGGGAGGCTGAGACAGGTGTGTCACTTGAGTGCAGGAGTTTGAGACCAGCCTGGCCAACATGGCGAAACCTTGTCTCTACTAAAAACACAAAAATTAGCTGGGCGTGATGGCACGCACCTGTAATCCCAGCTATTCAGGAGGCTGAGGCAGGAGAATCGCTTGAACCCGGGAGGCAGAGGCTGCAGTGAGATCACGCCACTGCACTCCAGCCTGGGCAACAGAGTAAGTAAGACTCAGTCTCAAAAACAAAACAAAACAGAACAACAAAAAAAAATTCCGAAATTGTTTAAAAATATTTTTATGAACCTAATGTCCCACGGGTCTTAGCCACACTTTGTAATGGCAATTTCAAAGCCAGGTTTCTAGAAATATCTTTAGCAATAACAAACAACACTTTCTAAAATATTTCTCTGTAGTTTAAAAAAAAAAAAAAAAAAAAAAAAAAGATCAATTTCTCCATAGCCTTGAAGCTGCACTCACAATTTGTCCTCACCATCCCCGGCCCATAAACCCTGCTTTTCACACTGTATCATCAGGTCCATTGATTCTGCCACCTAGATAATCGCTTTTGCTCTTCTCCAACCCCAGACAGCCACAAACTACATTTTTCATTTCTGTTTGGGACATAGTCTAGTCTCTCTTCTGGTCTTAACCCACATCCTCCTGTTTCCATCTGACTCCTCCAATGCCTCTCAAGAAAGGGTGATCTTTCCAAAAAGAACTTCTGATCATATCACAGAGTAAATACTCAGTGTTTGCTGAAATAACAAATCCATCCCTTAAAGTCAAAATTGTTAAAGTCATCAAACATATGAATTACTGTTCGTTTGAATAAATCTACCAAAATTTTATAAAATAACCTAATATGGTACATAACTGGATAAAAATAAAAAATATTAATCAGAACATTTTTGATTATATATGCAGTTGAAAGATTTAAAATACTAACTGAAATTGTCATTTTTAAAAAGTGGCTAGGCACGATAGTTCATGCCTGTAATCCCAGCACTTTGGGAGGCTGAGACGGGTAGATCACTTGAGGTCAGGAGTTCAAGACCAGCCTGGCCAACATAGTAAAACCCCGTCTCTACTAAAAATACAAAAATTAGTAGGGCGTGGTGGCACACACACACAATCCCAGCTACTCACTCGGGAAGTGGAGGCAGGAGAATCACTTGAACCCAGCAGGCAGAGGTGGCAGTGAGCTGAGATTATGCCACTGCACTCTAGCCTGGGTAACAGAGTGAGACTCTATCTCAAAAAAAAAAAAAAATTAAATTAAAAATTAAATTAAAAAAATAAGTAATAAAACACTTAATGGCACATAAAATAGATGCATATTTTACCTGATGTGTTAGCCTTTGGGTTAGCAATGGGAGGGAATCTGCCACAAAATGAAATTCATCTGGTGTGATACTCTGGCAGCAATTGGCTGCAATTGCTAATGCATTTCTTTGGGCATTTATGCTGAAGAACTCTAAGTACAGCAAGCAGTCTGCCAAACCACCCTAAAATATAGAAAACTGTTAAGGTAAAGAAAAATCCTTTATCAGCAATAAAAATAATTTAACTCTTAAAAAGTCTAGCACATTACTTTGGAAACAACATTTGTATCTTACAAAAACTGCAATTAAGTAGCTTGTACAAATGTGGATTTTTAAAATTCTACATAAGGTGAAATGTAGTCCTTCAGTAACAACACTTACCGCCTGTAGAATGGCTTTACTGTGTCTCCGTGACAACATCTCCAAGGCAGTCAAGGCCTGCTCTGCCACATCAATACACTGAATAACTTGCAGCTGGGAACATATAGTTACCATAAGGTTATCATTTAAGTTCTTTTCCAATAACTTATCTTCTACAGACAGTATTTTCTCTAATTTACATCAATGTATACTATCTCAAAACGTGTAACCCACCATAGGATGTAAGTCGCTTAGCAGCTTAAGCTATAAAGTATGGCCAAAACAGTTTCCTTCTAACCAGTTTGTGGTTTTAAGATACTGAAAAATGTTTTACATAATAAACCAAACCCAATTACATAACCTTTAAATCTTCAGATTTAAAATAGATGAGTTGTTTTACATAAAAAAATTTTAAAATCAGATTTTAACTTTACATCATATTGCAAATTTATGAGATAAAGTAAATTTTGTTGTGCATTAAACAAACAAAAAGGTCCGTAAGACAGACAAAAAACACAGTTTACTACAAACCATATGAAAATTTCTATTCCCCACTGATTCAACTTTCTCAGCTATATAATGAAGGTATAAATACCTATCAACCTCACTGGGATGTTTTCTAGAAATCAGATTATTTTTAATCAAATACTTTAAAGTTCTTCTCTGAAAGTTCTTATATTAATGTGCTAATTATTACTAAAAATTACAAAACTAGGCTGGGATACTACAAATGATTTATCTTCAACTTCAAACTATTGATCTGCTGGATATAAAACATTTTTCAGGAATCTTGGCTAAAAAATATACTTTATTTAGATAATGAAAGCTGAAATTCAAGAGTTTGAAACTTGATTTCCCTATGCCTGTTTTTGAACAAATGGGGTAAAAGTAGGATCACCTTTTCTAAAAAGACAGGAATAGCATCTACTACAACAGCAGAAGATCGAGGAAGTGCTTCCATCATGTATGTTAAGGCTCGACAAGCATGGTTCATCTAGAAAAGAAGAGATTTTGATGAATAAAAATTCAAAACTTAAATATCCATCATTTAAAAAAATACAGTATATACTTACAATATCAAAATTATGCTCCATCTGAAGTAATGTAATCTGTTAAAAAGATAACAAAGTATTAGAAGGTATACTCCTTGGGAAAATCCTAAAGGTGTTTCTTCCTCTTCTATTTGAACTTCAGCTGAAATGGTATTATTCGTAACTTTTACCACACAAAAATAACGTCAAGATAAAACCTAGTAGGCATACACCAGAAATGATTACACTCAGGATGGTTCATCACACACAGTGACTCCGACTTGAGTGTGCTGCTAGATAACCATCACCTCATGATACAGGTCACAAACAAAGCCTTCTTGTTACTTACATCCTATCCTTTTGGTAGCTCTAACCCTTTCAGAAGCCTATTAATATATCCCTGAGAACTTACCAGTGTTAATAAATACTAGATAGATAAATAAACAGGATCAGCAATGCATTGACATTTGTTGAATTAACAAATGTCAGCAAAGATTCAGGATCATAACTCTTGTGAACAAGCTTCTCTAAAACAGACAAGCACCATTTAACTCAGCTTTAAAATACACAGTAATATAGGATTTAAACACAAGATAGATCACATCAGAAACTATGCACTAATTAAAGCCAAATTAATATAATTACTCCATATACGCGGGAATAAGTTTAAATATTGATTTTAGTTTTTCTTGTGGGAAGGATCTTAAGCAGATTTCAGCTATGTTTTTCTAATGAAGGAATGCAAAACTGCTGGGGATACACACTCCGTCCTCTTGAAGCAGCTGAGTCACCAAAGAAATTTTCTCCTTGGGGGTAAGACAGTCATTCACTGTCTTCTGGTTCAACAGAAATTTTTAAATGCACTGAATTAAGTACCCTTCAATTAAATTTATAACAACAACAACAAACATCAGATATTCTAACACAATACTCACACAATATGAATGTCTTCTCAGCTCTGAATTGTGCTGGGTAAAGTATACCTACATACCAGAAGTCCTAAGAACTATTTTTGTTTAAAAGCAGTTACACACAAACACCATAACACATACACACACTCCATTTCAGGACTTAAAAAAACCAAAATCCTATTTATCAAATCACTTAATATTAGTCACTTAGAACACTTAAGTGTAATTTGAAAGGGGTTGTCATGTTAAAAGAAAAAGTACTAAGTTCCCCAATTATTAAACAACCTTGTTATACCGTGTTTGGGAAGGACTGACATAAGCAGATTCCCTTTCACCAAAAATGGCTATTTATGTCACATGACTGCACTGTGATGAAGAGATATACATAAATAATATTCACCTGTGATAAAACATATATCTGGAGAACTCATTAATAACAGCCATTATTAATAGCGAGAGCATCCTTGTGCAAGTCAATCAGGTACTTAAATCTAATTAACAACCAGCACATTAAGTAAAGTGAATTATGCGTCAACATTTCCGCCTAGACTTAATGGCTTCTTTATTTAACTAATAAAAATTAAAATTTAACTGTAGATAGTATAAGGTAAGCCCAGTTATTTGTTGCTACTTCTTACTGAACAAACAACAATAACAATAAAACAAACGAAAATTTGATGCGGGTCACAGAAGTCAGCTATTGAACAAATCAGCAATCTGAGAATGGACATTAACACAGGCAAAATCTGAAAGTTGAAAGGTTAATAATATTGCTATTATGAAACACGCAGAAAGCAACATGTACAACTTTTACTAGAATGGAAATGATAAAATTTGAACACTGGCTTTTATTATCTGCATCTGGGTGGCAGGTGAAGAAACTGTTCTATCCTTTATCAAACTCTGCCAGAGCTGAGCCATCCAAATAAGAACAAGCAGAATAAGAATCATCACCTTGCATTTCACAGGCTTTTCTTTACTCAGCTCTCTCACCAAAACTGAAGCTATCTCCATAATTTGTTCAAATAGGACAATATGATGTAATAACCACAGCTTTACTGCATATACAAAAAAGATTTACATGGTATTTAATTGTAATTTCCAAAATAAAACATGCTACAATGTCATCATGTTTATGTTTGTCTTTTGGTAGCGTTTGATTTAGACTCAAATTTTAATCTTACATTATAGCCAATTTATTTAACTTTGAACAAAGAAATTATCAATCCACTATTTAAACACTGTATTGTGCTAAGGTGCCTACATTTGATAATAGCAATTTTTCCTCCTATTGTTTTCATATTTAAAAGTTTAAGGAATCAAGCTGTTAATAAATTTCTCATATCAAAATATCAACTCATAACTGTGTTGAAAAGGCACTAAGAAGATTTTTTAAAGTCTTTATTTCTTTTTCTGAGACAGAGTTTCACTCCTGTTACCCAGGCTGGAGTACAGTGGCACGATATTGGCTCACTGCAAGAGATTAGAGTGATTCTTTGCCTTCCAGGTTCAACTGACTGTCCTGCCTCAGACTCCTGAGTAGCTGGGATTTACAGGCACCTGCCACTATGCCCAGTAAATTTTTTCTATTTTAAGTAGAGACAGGGTTTCACCATGTTGGCCAGCCTGGTCTTGAACTCCTGACCTCAGATGATCGACCTATCTCGGCCTCCCAAAGTACTAGGATTACAGGCATGAGCCACCGTGTCTGGCCAACATAAAAGCTTTTAAACTGAAAGGATCCACATATATACCATATGGCTTGAGTAGTATTCCCATGTAGACACGTACTAAATATGAAACCTTTCTGGCCCTCCGACACAACCCAAAGTGAGCTTCCCTGGCCCATTGCTCCATGGATCACCAGGCTAAAAGAAAAAGCACGTATATTTTACATGGCAGGAGTTAAGGTTACTGATGAGGCGAACAATTTAAAACCAGTCATTTAGGTATCAAGAATTGGGTGACTATTCATCAAAAAATGACTTAGAAAATTTGCTATCTCATTAGCAACTGCTCACAGTATCTATAAGCATGAAATAAAAGCACCAAGTCATATACTCGTCTCTTAACTCTATCATGTTTTAAAAATTAATACTGACAATAATCATACATTCAGTAAAAAATCAGCAGATTTCTGCAGACAAATGAGGTAAAATGAGGGGAAAACACTATGCTTACCAAAGCTGGAACAACACTCTTGACAGGAAACCCTCCCAGTGTCTCCTCATTTCCCATGACCAGCAACTGACACATCTCAATAACTGCCTGAAGCTGTTGACTTTCATCACTGGCTTGCAATCCTTGTAGTAGCTGCTGGGCCTTAGAACCTTTAGAGAAAAAAATAATTATTATCTTTAAACACTTAAGAAAATTATTACTAGGTATAAGGTGTGACTCGCAATGTAACTGGTTGCTTATCTTCTTTGGATCCTAACAGGTCTATACCAGGGTCAAGGCACACTGCTAATACACTGAAGGAAGAATTAAATTAGTTGCATGTGCTCTGCCTTATCATGCTTTCACAGTTATATATTTCTGTCTTCTTAATTGAAAAGTTGACTGGTTTCACAGCAAAAAAACAAAAATATCCATAAGACCAGTATAAACTGATAGCTTTAACATGATCTGTTTTAAGGAAATATAAATCGTGAGCAAAGGTTTGCTACAATAATAAAAACCTGTTAAACAATGATGCCCATACTTCAAAGGAAACGTTATACACCTCCAAATATCCGTTCCAGAATAAACAGAATCCAATTAACAGTGAAAGGGCAAGGAAATAAAAAACAAACACAACAACGTATCTAACAAAAAAGGGAACGAAAAGAATATTCTGTAAAAATACACACACACACACACACACACACACACACACAATTATAAACCCTTACAACCTCTTTCATTTCCTGCACAGATGATGGCTATTAGAATGTTTCTACTTTTAAGACTTAATTCCATTACTCCAACAATTGAAAAATGTGAATACTCAACAACCACAGAGAAATAAGTTGTCATTAAGCTGAACAATACACTCCAAAATAAAGTCTACAGGCTGGGTTCAGTGGCTCATGCCTATAATCCAAGCACTTTGGGAGGCCAAGGCAGGTAGATCACTTGAGGTCAGGAGTTCGACACCAACCTGGCCAACATGGTGAAACCCCGTCTCTACTGAAAATACAAAAATTAGCCTGGCACAGTGGTGTGCACCTGTAGTCCCAGATACACAGGAGGCTGAGGCAGGAGAATTGCTTGAACCCGAGAGGCAGAGGCTGCAGTGAGCCGAGATGATGCCACTGCACTCCAGACTGGGCAACAGACAAAGACTTCATCTCAAAAATGATTAATTTTAAAAAATTAAGTCTATGAATGTGTTTCATTTTTCATGGACACTTTCCTACTTGAAACCACAATTAATTAAATTAACACTTAACCAATGTTTTATGATGTTACTTTTAAAGCCCCTTCACTTCTTACACCTTTTCAAGTTATTCTTTTCATATTGGACTTTTCCAGTCCTATATCATTAAGTATTGAAATGTGTAGAAATGGGATATATGTCTGGAAGCTGTCAATGAATGTGAAATTTTCATAAAAACTAAAGCTAATAATTTCAATTGACCATTAGTGAGATTCCTGGGGGCATACACCTCTCAAAGGGGCACATGGCAATTCATGGAAGTTGTTTTATGGTTTAAGATTGTGGCTACTGCATTCTATAGCTATCGCTGCCTACCTACCTTTACCATAATTAAAATTCATCCAAAAATACACCAGAAGAAAAGTTGGGGGAAATACAATTTAACAATTTGAAACTAAATAATATCAATTCCAGTGAGAGTAGGTTTATCACTTCTGTGTTGACATAATGTAGAAGGAAAAACAAAATGATAGAAAAACAGTGAAAACAAATGAATCCTCTGCTGATTCTAAAAGGATTAAACTTTAAAAGGATTAAACAGTTCACATCAAGTATGGCCTAATAGCACAACCCCCTAAGAGAAAGAACTGACATGTATGTGACTAGATGGAGGTCTTATAACCATGTGGGTTGACAACTGTTAAGGACATGGATCTTATACAGCACAATCAAAATTATCATCAATACCAATAAACATCTGGGATGTACCTAAAAATAACTTACACTAAACTGAAGATAACAACAAAAAGCCAAAACCATTACCAAAACCTACTTTGTCTTCTGATCTATGAAGAGAAACCAACTCTTAGAGTAGTGGATTTTGAATTTAGAATCATTTTATACTCTTAAAAACTACTGAGGGACCACAAAGCACTTTTGTTTATGTGGGTTGTATTTATTGATAATTTTAAAATATGTTAATTGAAATACAAAAATTTTAAATATTTGCCAGTTAACTCATTATACATTAATATAAACAATTTTGATTTTAAAAAACCTTATTTTCCAAACCAGGTGGCACGGTCTCAGCTTACTGAAACCTCCGTCTCCTGGGTTCCAGCGATTCTCCTGCCTCAGCCTCCCAAGCAGCTGGGATTAGAGGCACAGGCCACCACGCGTGGCTAATTTTTTTGTATTTTTAGTAGAGCTGGGGTTTCACCATCATGGCCAGGCTGCTATTGAACTCCTGACCTCAGGCAATCTGCCCACCTTGGCCTCCCAAAGTGCTGGGATTACAGACATGAGCCACCGTGCCCGGCCCAAACACTATTTTCAGTATGAATTTGGTTGCTAATGTAGAACTCATGGATACAGAAGCCTAACTGTATTTATTCTTTAAATCCATGAATAAGTGGACCTGCACAGTTCAAACTCATGTTGTTCAAGAGTCAACTGTAAATGGAAAAGATTGGCCTTACTGTGTTCCAAAGATTATTAAAAAGACATGTCTTGGGAGTAAAGACCTAATTAAATTAACTTTGGTTCAGTAAGGGCATCTTAGATAAAAACTGAATTATATTTACTTGGAGTATGTGGCAGTGAAAAACACAATGACTGCTAGTTTCAGTGCCACTCCTTCATGCTTAAGATCCCACCAGTTTTACCCATTACAGCTTATGAACCATCAGTTCAAACATCAAAGAAACAGAAGGAAAAATCTTAGTAACTATTATTAGTTTTGACCTTATAGAACTCATTTAAGGGTCTCTCACGAACTAAGAGTCCACAGATCATACTTTGAGAACCGTTATTGTCGATCAGGGTTTGGCAGGCAAACGTTCTCTCAAGGGCCAGATAGTAATTATTTTGGGCTTTACAGGCATATGGTCTCTACTGCAACTACTCAACTCTGGCACTGTAGCTGGAAAGTATCCACAGAAAGTAAGACTAATACAAACAAATGAACATGACTATATTCCAATAAAATATTATGGACACTAAAATTTGATCTGCATTTAATTTTCACATCAGAAAATATGACTCTTTTAAAATGTTTTCAGCCACGTAAAAATATAAAATCCACTCTTAAGAGTATACAGGCAGTATAATGCAAATTCATTGGTTTATTATAGCATACCTTATACAAAAATTAGCCGGGCGGGGTGGTGTGCACCTGCAGTCCCAGATACGCGGGAGGCTGAGGCACAAGAGTCACTTGTTTGCAGTGAGCCAAGATCACGTCACTGCACTCCAGCCTGGATGACAAGAGTGAGACTCCGTCTCAAAAAAAACAAAAACAAAACAAACAAAAAACACTGATAGAGGGGGGAGTAAGAAGTTTTGCTAAGACAGAAGAAAATCTTGTACTGTTTGAGATTGATAAAGTATTAATTTAAGGTATGCTATAACAAACCAGTGAATTTGCATTATACTCCCTAGGGTACCACTAAAAGAAATATACGAAGATATATAACTTAAAAAAAAGTTAGAAACAATGAATTGTGGTAAAAAATCAAAAGCTTGATACCATACTGCTGTCATACCCACGACTGGTGGAAATGCAAAATGGTACAATCCCAAATTGGAGGAGTTTGCAACACCTACCAAAACATCGTATGCATTTACACTCATTTAAGCAGCAATCCTCCTTCTATAAATCTATCCAAAAGATAATGCTTGAAAAAAAAAAATAGGAAAGCTACATTTCACTGAAGGCTAGCCAATAGAAAAAAAACTGAAAATAACTCAAATGTGCAACAGGGGACTATATAAATAAACTATGTATACCCACACAATGGAGTAACATGGCAGCTTTACAAAGGCCTATCAGTTGAACATGCAACACGCATGTGGCAGCTGTGAAGAGTGAACACCAAAATACAGTATCAAAAGCAAAGTAAAGTGTATAAAGTTTGCTACTCTTAACTGAGAAAGGAAGTCCCATGGACAATATAGATATTTATGGATTTTTTAAAGTAAATAACAGAAGGACAAGCCATAAAATTTAAAAGATTATTTATGTAAGAGGAAGAAGCAGGGGAAATGGAAAGCAAAAGAAGATAAGATTTTTCTAAATATATCTTGTTTGTAGATTTGACTTTTACAACTGTGTAAATATTATATAAATATAAAAGCAAAATACACATTTTAAAAAGCAGTCCCTAAAAATCAGAAGCAAAATGAAGTAAATGAACCAATCCAACCTGCTGGCATAAAGAAAGAGATGGATTATTTCAAATGACTTTAAAACACACTAATTTTAACACAAAGTAAAAAATATCCCAGGAACAGAAAGAACTGTAAAATAATCTTTTTGACTTTTTTAATAATAATACTTTCAGTAGCAACTTGAAATCTTGTACTGTGGGATAAAGTAAATGAGTCACTATGTTATAATTATTGGGAATTAGGACACTCAGCATTGGAGAAAGGAGATATAACATGAATGAAGTTAAATAAAAACTCTGTAGACCTAAACATGAATTGGTGGTATCATACCAACTTTTAAAAGAGTCTAGAAATAATGGTCAACCCAGAAGAAATGAATATGGCAGACTGCGGTCTCTAAATACAAAATAAACCAACGCTCTATGGGGAAATGAACAATTTCAGGTATGGGGAGTGTATCAGTCCATTCTCACACGTCTACGAAGAAATATCCAAGACTGGGTAACTTATAAAGAAAATAGGTTTAATTGACTCACAGTTTGGCGTGGATGGGGAGGAAACTTACAATCAGTGGAAGGTACTTCCTCATAGGGCAGCAGAGGAAAGAGTAAGTGACAACAGGGGAAATGCCAAATCCTTATAAAACCATCAGATCTAGTGAGAACTCACTAGCAGGAGAATAGCATGGGAGAAATCACACCCATGATTCAACTACTTCCCACTGGGTCCATCCCAGTGGGGACTGTAGGGATTGCAATCCAAGATGAGATTTGGGTGGGTACACAGCCATACCATAGCAGGAAGAAAAAATAAGTCAACTGAGTTTGCCACATCTTATCATACCAGAAAATAAGAAGGCTATCAAAAATTACTAAGGTTATGGCCGAAAGATTCAGAAGCCAAACTCAAAAAGATCCCATCATCCAATGCTGGGACAATTCAAGTATCAATGAAAATCACTGAAATGTCTAATACATGTCTCAACCCACTGCTTACAATCACACTTAAAAACAAACATGTTAAAAAGCAAAAAAAAAAATACAACAATGGTACCTTTGGAGGATATAAAAATCACTCCTTTTATTAACCAGTAAAGAGTGAAAAATAATTTTTCCTGTATCAACTATTGTCCTGGGCAATCAAACAGAAGGTGAGAAGAAGATATCCTTTATATATTTCTACTAAATTATTAATACTTTCTTTACTTCTCATAAATGAAAAGAGATTATTAGGTCTAAAATACTACTATTTTGTAACCCCTATTACATAGGTACTTAGTTTCAACAGCTTGTTAAAAGACAGACACTATGTACTTTCTAAGAACACACTATGACTTTTCAATAGGCTTTGTTTACCAAGAAAAGATGATAAAGGCTCTAAACTCAATGTGAAGAGGTCTCTAGGTCCAACAACCAGTTTGCAAGAAATACACTTATGATATTGAGACAATGAAACTTCGACATCTATTGGCTATCTATTATTAAGAAATTGCTGGTTTATTTTTTAAATGTGATAATGTGACTGTGTGTTTTGAGGAGCATTATCTTAAACCACATGATGAAATGTTTATAGATTAAAATTAGGTGTCACTTAACAAATGGGATATGTTCTGAGAAATGCGTTGTTAGCCTATTTTGTCGTGCAAACATCATAGAGTATACTTAAACCAAGATGGTACAGAGTTTAGCCCCTTGCTCCTAGGCTAGAAACCTGTACGACATGTTACTTTACTGAATACTATAGGCAGTTGTAATGAGTATTTGTATATGTTACTATATCTACACATAGAAGAGGTACAATAAAAATATGATATAAAAGATTAAAAAATGGTACTTCTGTATAGGGCATTTACCATGAATGGAGCTTACCAGGAATGGAAGTTTCTCTGGGTGAGTGGGTGGTGAGTGAATGTGAAAGCCTAGATTATACACTACTACAAATTCTATAAACTGTATATATGTGTATACTAAATTTATAAGAAATACCTTAAAAGAAATTAACCGGTCAGGCACTGTGGCTCACGCCTGTAATCCGAGCACTTTGGGATGCTGAGGTGGGCAGATCACAAGACCAGGAGATCGAGAACATCCTGGCTAACAGAGTGAAACCCCGTCTCTACTAAAAATACAAAAAATTAGCCAGGCGTGGTGGCGGGTGCCTGTAGTCCCAGCTACTCAGGAGGCTGAGGCAGGAGAATTGCTTGAACCTGGGAGGAGGCGGTTACAGTGAGCCGAGACTGCACCACTGCACTCCAGCCTAGGTGACAGAAAAAAAAAAAAAAAGAAAGAAAGAAAAACCCCCCCCCGCTTTTTTTTTTTTTTTACTTTCATAAACTTTTTTTAACTTTGACTATCCCCCCCCCTTAATTTTTTTTTTTCACAAACACAATGTACAGCTGTATAAAAACATTCCCCCCCCCTATATTTTTTTTTTTTTTTTCCTATTTTGAAAATTCATTTTTCTTTAGCCCCCCCCCAGTTTTTTTTTTTTTTTAGACACAAACATGACCATTAACCTAGGCCTGCCCCCCCCCAAGATTTTTTTTTTTATTATGTTCGACCTCCACATCTTATGTCCCACTCCCCCCCCCCAGGTTTTTTTTTTTGCATGAAGCTGTCATCTCCTATGGCAACAATGCCCCCCCCCCGAATTTTTTTTTTTTAGGTTTACAGTTAATGTTCTTCTTTAGTATGTACCCCCCCCCCATTTTTTTTTTTTTTTGTTCAATGCGTGGCCCAGGATGGCTGTGAATCCCCCCCCCCAAATTTTTTTTTTTTTTCTTAAAATATTATAAGATTTTTTTGCGACTCCCCCCCCCCTCATTTTTTTTTTTTAGTGTTATTATAATTAGTGTTACTATATTTTACCCCCCCCCCAAGTTTTTTTTTTTTCCAATGTGACCCAGGGAAGCAAAAAGACTGGACCCCCCCCCCTTTTTTTTTTTTTTGTATGGTTTAAAAATGTGTACTGTATATTAGATCCCCCCCCCGAATTTTTTTTTTTTATTATAACCTTGTGGGACTGATGTAGCGTGTGCCCCCCCCCCTTGATTTTTTTTTTTTTATGCAGCACATGACTGTATATAATGCCTGGGCCCCCCCCCAAACTTTTTTTTTTTGAAGGATGTGAATGAGGCTACAGATAAAGATTAGATATGAAGTAGGCACCGTTGAAGCTGGGCCATGGGCACAAAGGTGTGGCATTGTTTCCCCCCCCCGCTCTTTTTTTTTTTTTACATTAAGTTCATGTGTAAAGGTTGATGTTAAATACAGGTTTCAGATATCTCAAAATCAATACCCTTAGGGATCCCCTGCAACAGTTTCCCCCCCCCTTTTTTTTTTTTTTTAGGCTTCTCCCCAGTGATAAATAAAATCAAATTCCCCCCCCCAAAATTTTTTTTTTTCTTAAGAAACTACCTGATTGCAATGTATAAATCCCCCCCCCCTCCCTTTTTTTTTTTACGGGCCAGGCACAGTGGCTCACGCCTATAATCCCCCCCCCCTGGGTTTTTTTTTTTGGTGGATTCCCTGAGGTCAGGAGTTCGAGATCACCCCCCCCCCACATTTTTTTTTTTTCTCTACTAAAAATACAAAAATTAGCCGGGCTTCCCCCCCCCCACCTTTTTTTTTTTCTACTCAGGAGGCTGAGGTGGGAGGATTGTTTGCCCCCCCCCGGTGTTTTTTTTTTTAAGCTGAGATCGCGCCACTGCACTCCAGCCTGGCCCCCCCCCCAAGTTTTTTTTTTTAAAAAAAAACTTTTTAAAAAAGTACACATGAGACCCCCCCCCCTACTTTTTTTTTTTTATAAAAAATTCAGCTAGCAAACTGTTTAATGTCCCCCCCCCTCACTTTTTTTTTTTCATCATTATGACAAACTCAAGATTCAAATCTATCCCCCCCCCGCCATTTTTTTTTTTAATTACCAATGCAATTGTTTGAGATTCTTTATTCCCCCCCCCTTCATTTTTTTTTTTTCAATCTCGCTATAAAATCTGGGTAATACTGCACCCCCCCCCGTACTTTTTTTTTTTATGTGCACAAGCCTTCTTTTTAAAAATGGGTTACCCCCCCCCAAAATTTTTTTTTTTGTTCAATCAATAGGTTACAAGTAAAAATAGCAGCCCCCCCCCTATTTTTTTTTTTTTGGGAAGGAACATTTTTACTTACTAGCTCCGCTTCCCCCCCCCCTATTTTTTTTTTTTGACATCCGAGGACCAAGAGGACCAAACAGGTGACCCCCCCCCCCCCTTTTTTTTTTTAAAGCTAGAGAGAAAAGAAGGGCAGAGTGAACACCCCCCCCCACTTTTTTTTTTTTTTCTATCTGAAAATTTCAAGTAACTGATTCATCTCCCCCCCCCGATTTTTTTTTTTTTACTTTGCTTTCTGAACTATTAAGAGAAGCTGCACCCCCCCCCGACCTTTTTTTTTTTTTAAATCAGTGCCAACAGGAATGTGTAAAATATCCCCCCCCCAACCTTTTTTTTTTTTTTTGATTATTTTGAAGAGCTAACATGTTAAGCCCCCCCCCCCTGTTTTTTTTTTTTCATTATTTCCCAATCAGTTGTTGGTCATCAGATCCCCCCCCCCCATTTTTTTTTTTTATATGATTTTTATTAGTTCCAAAATGTGAAAACAAAACAAAATAGGCCAGGCATAGTGTCTCAAACCTGTAATCCCAGCACTTTGGGAGGCCCCCCCCCATCATTTTTTTTTTTGAGTTCAAGACCAGCCTGGCCAACATGATGAAACCCCCCCCCTACTTTTTTTTTTTTAATTAGCCAGGCGCAGTGGCAGGGACCTGTAATCCCCCCCCCTCAGTTTTTTTTTTTAGGAGAATGGTTTGAACGCGGGAGGCGGAGTTCCCCCCCCCCTGAGTTTTTTTTTTTGCACTCTAGCCTGGAGTGCAAAGTAAGACTCAGCCCCCCCCCAATCTTTTTTTTTTTCTGTGTTCCTGAGAGTCCGAGTCCTAGAGATACCCCCCCCCCCCCTTTTTTTTTTTTAAGCAATCAAAAATGATTTATAAATAATACTTTCCCCCCCCCCCTCTTTTTTTTTTTTGTTATAAATCAATTGAGATAAAAATATATACCCCCCCCCCCATAATTTTTTTTTTTTTTTGTAAAAGCATTTGTTAACATTTAAAAAAACCCCCCCCCGTATTTTTTTTTTTTATTCCTTTTGAAACAGGATTAAGAAGATAAAAACCCCCCCCCAACATTTTTTTTTTTCCCATTTATGCTGCAGGTTGCAATTTTTTAAATCCCCCCCCCAGTGTTTTTTTTTTTCTTGGCAACGGCCTTGAGCAGTAGGATATCAGTCCCCCCCCCATCCTTTTTTTTTTTATAATGGAACACTAGGCCTAAGTGGGTTAAATGCCCCCCCCCTGCTTTTTTTTTTTTGACGAAAATATATTAAGGTACCCGTTTTTCAAGCCCCCCCCCTTATTTTTTTTTTTTACCAGCTATACATGCAACCACAATAAAGAAAAAAACATTTAAACAAAAATAAATATGTAAGGCTTTATCTAGTTAAACAGTAAACACCTACCCCCCCCCAGCTTTTTTTTTTTTTCCAAATCATGAAATTGCTACTAAGAAGTTTTTCCCCCCCCCTTCTTTTTTTTTTTTGTACTGCTAGATTATGATCAAATGAATTTAAATCCCCCCCCCTAAATTTTTTTTTTTACAGGTAGCTCATGGTAATGGTTTCTTGTAGGCCCCCCCCCCGTTTTTTTTTTTTTTACGTCCCATCTCGGAATCATCTGATTCACTCTCCCCCCCCCCGGTCTTTTTTTTTTTCCCTGCAACAGAACTAGAGGCTTGGGATGGAGGCCCCCCCCCAGGGTTTTTTTTTTTGCACTTAAACACATTATGTCTGGCTTATCTTAGCCCCCCCCCAGTTTTTTTTTTTTTAATGAATAAAGGCAATTAAACTTGTCTAGCCACCCCCCCCCCAGCTTTTTTTTTTTTCTTTATCCTGTAGCTTTCAGCAACGAAAGGAGACCCCCCCCCTTTTTTTTTTTTTTTGGTTGTACTTTTATGCTTGTTTTTCATTTATACCCCCCCCCCGACATTTTTTTTTTTCCTTTGAAACTGTTCTTTAATTAAGATGTCCTGCCCCCCCCCCCGATTTTTTTTTTTGAACATACTGCTAAAACAATTGTGATTATTTAACCCCCCCCCAATTTTTTTTTTTTTTAATAAAAAGGCAAAATTGACATTTGGGGGAAACCCCCCCCCTAGATTTTTTTTTTTTAAGTCTGCTTCATTCCCGGACTACAGTCTTGACCCCCCCCCTTATTTTTTTTTTTTAACTTCAAGAGTGCAAAAAGATATTACAACAGACCCCCCCCCTGAATTTTTTTTTTTGCTGGACATGGTGGCTCACGCCTGTAATACCAACCCCCCCCCGGTCTTTTTTTTTTTATCACTTAAGCTCAGGGGTTCAAGGCCAGCCTGCCCCCCCCCGTGCTTTTTTTTTTTCCAGCTACTGAGTTAGGCATGCCTGAGTTGAGACCCCCCCCCGGGCTTTTTTTTTTTGGGCCGCAGTGTGCCATGATCATGCCACTGCACCCCCCCCCCAGCGTTTTTTTTTTTCTCTATCTAAAAACAAAAAGTATGAAAGACAGGCCCCCCCCCTGTCTTTTTTTTTTTAAAATGAAGAGTTAAAACTCAGGATACTATTAACCCCCCCCCTAACTTTTTTTTTTTTGACAAAAAACCAGTCTGAGCTAATGGAGACAGCCCCCCCCCTGAATTTTTTTTTTTAGTAAAACCATGGTCCTACAAAACTAGCAGTTACCCCCCCCCCTAGTTTTTTTTTTTGGTCAAAGGGGGTTCTTTTTGTTTGTTTTCTGGCCCCCCCCCTTTTTTTTTTTTTTTTGATTGATCTACATAAGCTCTTCCACAATACCTCCCCCCCCCTATATTTTTTTTTTTGATTGTGACAGAATGCAAGCCAGGAAGAATATTCCCCCCCCCATTGTTTTTTTTTTTTGTGTGAATAACATATGTGAATTTAAAGAGCTTCCCCCCCCCAAAATTTTTTTTTTTACCAGCCACCGACTGTATTTTCATATTACCATTCCCCCCCCCCACCTTTTTTTTTTTTCTATATAACTTCATTAATGGGATTAAAAAAAACCCCCCCCCAAAATTTTTTTTTTTGAACAGGGTCAGCAAAATATGGCCCAAAGGCCGCCCCCCCCCCACCTTTTTTTTTTTTAAATAAAAGTTTTATTAGAACATAGCTGTACTCCCCCCCCCACAGTTTTTTTTTTTCTTTCACGCTGTAATTACAGAACTGAGTACTTGCCCCCCCCCCTACTTTTTTTTTTTAACATTTACTATCTGGCCTTTTACAAAAATGTTCCCCCCCCCCCCATTTTTTTTTTTGGTTTAGAGCCATAGAGAGACAGATTAACCAGACCCCCCCCCGTTGTTTTTTTTTTTAGCAAAATCCACACTTCTGGTAAAGAAAAAGGACCCCCCCCCGTAATTTTTTTTTTTCTATAATGCTACTTACAGGTACGCAGCATTTATCCCCCCCCCACTATTTTTTTTTTTTGTCTAAGTTTCCTCCTAACTGTACAAAAGGTACCCCCCCCCTCATTTTTTTTTTTTAACCAAGGTTTTGTGACTCTGAGCATACTTGGCCCCCCCCCCATAGTTTTTTTTTTTTCGGAGATCTGAACTTAGGAAGCCTGACTTCACCCCCCCCCCCCTTTTTTTTTTTTTGACTCAAACGTATTCTTTAGCAGTGATTTTTAACCCCCCCCCAGTTTTTTTTTTTTTTTATACAGAAATGCTGTTAACAAATACTGTTACCCCCCCCCCTTATTTTTTTTTTTTCTCTTAAACTTATCTTAAGACTATTCTATCTATCCCCCCCCCAAATTTTTTTTTTTTACAAATGAAATAGTTGGTATTTTTAAACCACACTCTGGAGCCCATACATTAAAACACGCACACACAAAAATCTAACCTGTTAGAGTACTGCCCCCCCCCTAAGTTTTTTTTTTTGAGAATCTACTTGATTTTACTTTAAAATGTTCTCCCCCCCCCCAACTTTTTTTTTTTTCTACCTTACATTACTTCTTAAACATTTTATTCCCCCCCCCCTCATTTTTTTTTTTTCAAAACTTCACTGCCACAAAGACATCAATTAATCCCCCCCCCAAACTTTTTTTTTTTCATAATTAAAAGAGATGCTAAGGTTCTATTATACCCCCCCCCCAACTTTTTTTTTTTCACAGAACCTTTTTTATTTTTATTTTTTGAGACCCCCCCCCCCTCTTTTTTTTTTTTTGAAGTGCAGTGGTGCAATTTACAGCTCACTGCCCCCCCCCCCTCCTTTTTTTTTTTGATCCTTCCGCCTTCGCCTCCTGAGTAGCTGGTCCCCCCCCCACATTTTTTTTTTTTTAGTTCAGTTTTGTATTTTTTTGTAGAGACAGGCCCCCCCCCCGTTTTTTTTTTTTTTCTCAAACTCCTGAACTCAAGTGATCCACCTGCCCCCCCCCCCAAGTTTTTTTTTTTGACGTGTGAGCTACTGTCAAAAGTCTGATTATCCCCCCCCCCTAGGTTTTTTTTTTTGACAGAAATTGGAAACTAACTGTGAAGAAAAGACCCCCCCCCCCAGTTTTTTTTTTTCAAGTATTAAGCTTTTGTTCCCTTTTATGAAGTCCCCCCCCCTATCTTTTTTTTTTTTTCAGATAGGAGTTACGAGTTTTCTAATTTTGTCCCCCCCCCATAATTTTTTTTTTTGTATGTTTTACAAAATGAGTTTGGTTTTACAAACCCCCCCCCAAAATTTTTTTTTTTTTGTATGTTTTACAAAATTAGAAAACCTAAGCCCCCCCCCCCACTGTTTTTTTTTTTTAGGAGTATAGAGATGGCTGTTCTGTAAAGTCACCCCCCCCCGAAATTTTTTTTTTTCAATAGCAGTTGGCTACAGTTCCTTAGTCAAGGCCCCCCCCCTACTTTTTTTTTTTTCAGATTTGTTCCCAGAGTCAAATATACAAATATCCCCCCCCCTAGATTTTTTTTTTTGCCAGATTTTCAACAGATATTTCTCCTGTTTAGCCCCCCCCCATCTTTTTTTTTTTTTGTAAGACAGTTTACAATACACATAAGTGAAAACAATGGAGAACGATATTGTCTAAATCAGAATACAAACATTCTATTATAGAGTGACAACCCCCCCCCCTTTTTTTTTTTTTTGCAAAGTTAACAAAATTGGAATACTTCTTTATGCCCCCCCCCCCT